TTTCTTTTTATTTTCATTTTTATAAATTCAACAATTTAAATTTTGTTTCTTAATTTTCCATTGTTAACATTAGTTTTCCCACTCCCACAACTATAGTTGTAAATTTCTTGATTGTTACTCTTAACCAATCTAATTAATTAGTATCCCTGATTAACTGATTGAGTTGATTAATTTATATTCCTAACTAATTGTCCAATGGAAATTAATCTAAATTCAAATCTATATCTAAAGATATAGTTAATGTTAATTCAGTTAATTACAATTAACTAATTTTCTTAATTGTATCTACCCAAATCTCTACATCTTTTAAGTTGACCAAAAATTGGTAACAAAAGTAAGAGACCCGATTTTCTCTTTCTCTCCCTCTTTCTTTTTTCTTTCTTTTATTTTTTAGCCTTTACCATTGTTAAGTCTAAAGACTTATCTTGGTTAATTTTTATCTTTTTTATCTTCTCTACATGTTAACCATATTGTTCATAATGTCGAGACATAGAGACTAAAAGAGTTACTTTGTAACAATAGTTTCACCTCATCACTAATATGATTAACTTGGTTAATTTGATTAATTTGTTTTCCTTGTTTTAATTGTAACCCCTTTTCATCATTAATTGATATCCCAATTGTCACCCCTTTTTTTTTTATTCTAAAAGAATAATTTTCCTCTATAATCTTCAGTCAATGTTTAACATTAAAATAGTTAACTTGCTCATCTTTAATCTCTCAATTTTAATTAAGGTGATTCTGCACTTCTAAGTGTTACAATCCATCCATCTCTCAAGTTCCTAAAATTCAACCTTCTTTAATTAGACATTTTATGTTTAATTGTCCAAATCTGAATTCTTTAGAATTATCAGTGAAAGTGAAAACACAAGCGTAAGTACAATAGAGAAACTCAGTGATCCTAAAAGAATCGTGTATTCGGTATTTTGTGGGACCGAAAATCTTCTGAACTCTTGTCTTCAAGCCTACAGACTTTTCCGAGTTTTATCTCAATCACATCCATCGATCTCAAATTGATCATCTAACCTCCTCATCTCAAATTTTCCCCCACAAAGTTCAACCCCTTTGCTTTTTTTTACAATTATTCTGTCTTACAATTGTGAAGACCGATAATTGAATGAAAACATGATAACTTCAAGTGCTTAAAAAAAGCAATGAAACAAAAAAGTTTCATTATATTGATCGCTGTAAAGATTAACAAGTTAACTGATTATCAAATGAAATTATCAGTTTTATTGGTGCTTTTTTTTTCATTGATTGTTGTTGCTGCTTTTAATTATTATCATCATAAACTGTACAAGTTTATTTTTCTTGCTCACTAATCGAGTTAAGATTGATTTGATTTTCTTGTTAAGACAATGACAGTTGACTTTCTTATTGTTTTTTTTTTGGTGTTTTTTGTTTCTGGTTCTTGTTGACAATCACTTATGATACAGAGAAAGACAAGCAAAGTATAATGTCAACTTGTGATGACCTAATATCCATCACCTAATACTCATGTTGTTTACTCCATTGACATTCACATTAACACCCATACCCGATTCTTGTATCAATTTACTACATAAACTGTGATAACGATCATTAGATATAATTATTAGGTCATTAAAATTTGAAGAGTTTTTTTTTGCTCAATCATTCTGAAAACTCTGAGTCGCTAATCTCAATGATGAAATTCAAATTTGAGTTTCACTCTTAATCCCTGGAAATGATTGGATAAGTTGGTAAAATTTGCATTTAAATTTACATGCAAATTTAACTGGAGACAAATTGTTAATTCTCACATTCAATTATCAATTTCAATTGAAAATTATTACTTATTTTCTATGGAAACGAATTCAACTTTTCATCAAGTTTCAAGTTTCACAGAAATAAATAGCTAAGATTATTCTTAAGTTTGAATTAGAGTAAAGATTAAGAGGATTAGAAATCAAAACAATACAACTAATTACTCTTTCTTCTGGTAACTTTGTTATTTCTTCACAAAATTACATCTCTCTATTTCTTTATGTGATAGGATCGCTGTTTCTAAATAATCAGCTGAGTTTACATGAAGATGAAATTGAAAGCTAAAATAATTTTGTTCTCGATACACTTCCTCTCTTCAAGAGATATTTTTATCATAGATTCTCATTAGCATCATATTAATCGTTCCCTGCGATTAAATTTTTTCTCGATCATTTACCAATATCGATACGTCATTAAATCAGACCGAGAATAAACCAAGCATAAAAACAGATAATAGTGGTTTCATTCTGGGTGATTGTGAAAATTGTTCAATGATTCTCAGATATTCATGTTGATTGTTGATGATTTCATCTTCTACTTTGTCGTAAATATCAAGATGATTAGTGGGTTAAACTTTAAATTCATTATTTTAACTACAATTTCGTAGATTTGTAATTTACCCTGAATAAATTGACGGAGAGGAAAAATTTTCAACCTCAATTGTAGGTAAACTTGCATATCATTTGTTTCCTCTCGGATCATTTAATTTAGTTTAAATCAGGACAATTACTATTGATTTAACAATTGAATGGTAATAAAAGTCAAGGGTAATTCATTTCATCATATTGACACAATAAAAGTCACCATTAAACTAACCCAAAATCTGAATTCCCTATTATTATTCAGATTATATTCATAATCAGCATCTTTATCGATCTGAAATGTTGACATTCCCTTTGAAAGAAAACCAATGTTTACATAATTTTCATTTTAATCAATTTAATAACTTACTAACTAATTCCAATGACAAGTAAATTAAATGCTGACTCTTGATGTAACTTGAAACCCATTTGATGATTGTTGAAAGTAATTACATTCAACGGAAAATAAAACAATCAACATTAAATCAAAATACTAATAAGTTATTCTGATGGATCAAGTTCTTCAATCATGGAAACAAAACTTAATATAATCTATTAAACTTGATATAATATGAGTCTGAAGATGAGTAAGAAAAGGAAAGGAAAAAAATTAAGAATCATTATCAACAGTGTTAGAACTTTTCTTTTGCATAACTTGAAGTGAATTTATCATTCGTAATGATAATAGTTTGTTTCAACTCTCAGTTACTATTCATATTATTATTTACGTTGATTTTACTTTTGACCGGTTTTCCGATTGTTTAACTGAATTCAAGTTACATCATTAATCCCATGGTTTTGCTTTTAACTTTTACCATGAATTTCAACACTCTAATCATCATCATCATCATCATCACCAGTATTGTATTTACGAGAAACTTGAGAATCATGAGCCAGAGGTAAACAAATGGATAGGAAATGATTATAAGTTGGAAATGAGAGAGGGAATTAAATTATTCTGGGTCAGAATGAATATTCTGATGCCAGAATAAATGAAAATAAATCAAGGTTTTCCATTTCACTCTTAATTATAATCTTCATGATGGATGAGATGATTTAATTAGATTTATACACAGAGATTCACAAGTGAACATTACTTGTCGTAATATTTATATGTGAAACTAAAATTCTGAGCTTTCGAAAATGGTAAATTCTGAGAAATAGCCAAGCTAAATGTTAACAGAATTTAAAGAGAGTAGAAAAAAAATTGTCTCTCTTTTCATGAGAAACTTTTCACTTCCACCAGTTGTTTTGTTATTACAATTAAATTTAAACTTCTCGATTAATTAACTTCTTATTAAATGAATTAACTTTCAGCTCAAATATATTAGCCGATTGAATTGATTATATGAAATTACATCTATTCACATGATAAGCGATTTACATTATTCATGAAAATCGAAAACTTGAACAATATTTCAAGTTTTTTCCTTCTTCTTTTTGACAATGAATAAGATCATATATGTAACTTAGATTTAAGATAAAGTGTATATCAACATCAGAATAAATAATCTTCATTTTTCCAAGTTATCTTTTGACACGAAGTAATCAGAGTATAAGATACTGTAGATAAAGAATCACATTTACATTGGAACATTTTTTTTTCTTCCCAAAATCAACAAGTAAAACCTCCTTATCAGAATGAATCATAATTCGATTCAAATGACATTCATCTGAGAGAAAATGATGTGAATGAAAAGAAGAAGAGAGAGAGAGAGAAAAAGTTCTACTCAAGGAGAAAAGTAAAAACATACATACATAGTATTAGAAAATAAATCCTCTTATCTGATATGTAATATCAAAACTTATATTCTTTGTCTTCTATCTCGTATCTTCATCTTCATCATTAGCTATTCATGTTTTATACATGTTATACCTTGGAATCAATCGAAGAATATATCTTCTTTTCTCTGTATATGTGTACAGAAAAACTCTTGCGGTAACAAGGAAACCCTAAGAAACTGATTTCATTCAGTCTTAAGTCTCCAGAATTGATACTGTAAGAAACCATTGCTTCTGACATTCATGGCTCAAGAGGATTAGATTAAATTATCTTGAGATAATATCAAGTGAAAAAAATGTAACAAGCTTTTCAACCATGTTAATCCCTTTCGTTTTTTTCCTCCAAGTTAAACTCTTATGGTCTCATCTTATGTGTATTACTTAATCATGATATTGCTTCCAGTAAGAGATGAATTCATGCTGATTGAACTCTAAAGGTTAGTTTACCTCGATTTTAGAGTAACGAAAGAATCTGAGTAATCGTTGGAATAGATCATTTTATGGAAAAGTTTACCGACAAAAAGTGGAAATCTCTGTAATCTAATAAGCCTGCAATCTATTATTTGTCCATGGTGAAGCTCATTGACGAGTCGAAGATTTTAATGAAGCTGCAGAGCGAAATCACTAAGGAAATTCTTGTGAATAACAAGTGCGATTTTGTGATTAGCGTTGAAATAATAATAGTTTAAGAAAATTTCGCTCTTCGAAAAGAGAAAACTAAATACAGATTGAGTAACATGATCAGAAGAATCTTGATATCAGACTTGCGCGATCTTTAAATTACGGGCTCTCCTTGTATTAGAACTTTTTTCTTTCCAGTTCTCTTCTCATTCATTTTGATAATATTCTTGCTCATGGTTATGATATTTGTGATTTCTTTTGATTTATCCAATTTCTCTTCTCTTCAGGATACATGAGAAATCCTTGTTTCAAGTTCATCCCTCAGACTGTAAACATAAACTTATTTTGATTGTTTATATAATCATCACCTAATCATCTTATTCTTGTCACCATCATACAATTGTAACTTAGTGCCATCAACCGGATTACAGTGTTGTGTGATCGACTACCAATCGGATTATATATTGGAAAAAGTGATCGAGAAAAGTTCAACTTTAAGATGAAATAAAATGTTCACTTTTCTGTTAATAGTTTTCGATAATATTTTTCTTCCTTTGTGAATTCATTGTTGAACAATATTTCACATCAAAAGGTAAGGTTTTAAGTCTTGATGTTATCAGATAGGTGACAAAGAAGATGAAAAGTTCAAGAACAAAAAGAAAGGAAATCATCATTCCCTGAGTAAATCTCATTTTCACTTCATCTTCACTCAAAGTTCAATCTTGAATTAACTTTTTCTTCAGCTATTCCAAAGGCAATCGTTGATTACATATCAGCAGAACTTGGAGTTTAATAAACGGCTTACGATTCTGGAGTAAACAATTCAATCAACTACATGAGATTAAGAGGTTAAAATCAATTACTTATTCCAAACGATGAAACTTTCGTCTTAATCATGAACAATATACTAAAACTGTAATGATAATGTTAATTGTATTGTCTTATAATAGTAATAAAAGATTTACTATCATCATGATAATGAGAGAGAGAGAGAGAGAGAGAGAGAGAGAGAGAGAGTTATAATCATTCTCATCATCATCATGTTTAGTAAATTGGTGATCAGTTAATTGAAACAGCATGATAATAATCATATTGCAATTGGAATGAAATAAATTGCTCAGAAGGAAAACAGAATTCATTTACAATGAGAAAAGAGGTGAAACATTGTGAAAATAAGCAGAAGATAAAGTTAAGATACTAAAACGATTGTAATATTAATTAGAGAAAGAGACAGACAGACAGGGAATCCATTATATTGTATATCATGAATCCGATTCTTAATCATGATCATCAGAATCTTCAATCCAAAGTAAACAAAGTGTTGAATACTTTTGGTCACAGACAATATTGTTTTAGTGATCATTGCAATTGTTTATTCTGGATAACATATAATAATCAAGGATAATAATGGTTAACTTTATTACCTCTAAACTAATAAAATTGATTTTGTGGATGAATCTGGTTTTCATTGCAATTCCCTTAACTATTATAACTCCAACGTGTATTGTAATTAACTTTGACAAGCTTCCTGAAAAACCCACAACACTCTGATAATGATGCATTCCCACCATGAGGTTGGTGGAGAAAAAAAAAGTAAAAATAATAATAATAATATGTTAACAGGGGTAGAAAATGATGTATTCTTATAATGATATTAGCACATTGGCTCACAATATATATAAGATTATTATCAATCTGACAAATTGAGAACTGAATTCATGAGTAATATATATTATGTTGTTCTTGATGGGAATCAAATTGTTTCAGGTGAAATCATTAGAATGGAAAATTTTCTCGCTAACTTAATAGTTTCATGATGATAATCTTTTGTTCATCATTGATTAAATTCAATGCATGGTAAATTTTTTTTTTCACCAAGAGTAAGATAATGATTATCACTACTTTCAATCTAACAAGTGAATAACTTTACCTTTACAATTTCAATTTGAGATAATTATGATAACTAGTTTACTTTTGTTTTTTTCTTCTCCTTCATTATCACTCTCAGTTCATCTCATCATCATCATCATCATCATCTCAATGTTGATGCATGAGTTGAAAAATAAATGTCTACTGAATCTGTTTTCAGGCTTCTGGGTGAAAATCTGAGTTTATCATCATCGATAATGATGTTCAGTTGAGTTTTTTTCTGCAATTCTCTGCCTCAGCCACTCATTCTCTCTCATTCTCTCTCTCTCTCTCTCTCTCTCTCTCTGCCTTAAATTATCATGAGAATTGCAAACCTAACCTTTTTAACTTTTCACCAGCCAATTCACTCTCACCTTTACTCAGTCTCTCCCTGTTTTGCATGGAATAAAAAAGAATCGTAGACTTTTACATAATCAATTTTATCCAAAGCTGAGAAAGAGAGCGATAGTAAATTCTGCATAGTTAACCGTCTACTGAACTACTCTTAGGAGTTTATCGAGACTCTCACCTTTTAATATATCGAAATGGATAAAACTTTTTGTTCTATCTGAATGAGATCAAATTTCGGTGGATAAAATACAAACTTTTTTCTTTCCTTTTCTGCTTCTCTTCGATAACACCAGTCAATTAGACATCATCATCATCATCTTTTCATCTTCAATTTAACTTATATTCAATCTTTCTGTCTTTCTCATTACGATTTCTTTTTTTACAATAGATTTCACTTCATCTTTACAGAAGCACAAGAGAAGATAGAAATCAAAAATCATACTGATCCTTTTTCAGTATAATACCACTCGAATGAGCCCAAGATAAGGGTGAACATCTAAATCCAACAAGGAAACTGAGGAAGTCAAACAGTCAAAAAGGAGGAGCAGAAGGTGGAAAAATAGTTGTTCGTAGGATAAAATAAAAAGAGAATCGAAAGTGGAGGAGAAAAAGAGTTGAAATAGCGATTGGGGTCGAACAATGATTCTTCGATTTCTTTCCATGATATTCTGTTATGATATATCTTATAAGATTGGTGAGTATCATCTAACCTTTTCTCTCTCTCTCTCGCTCTCTCTCCCATCTTCATCTTTTAGTCTTCATCAGATGAAGTTGTTTTTTTCTTTTGCTTGTTCCTTGGAAAACCAATTCTTTTCCAATTTTCTCCACAGTATGTAAACCCAAGTTCTGTTCATTTCTCACTCCCACTTCTCATTCCAAGTTTTTTTCTACTTTCTCTCACTCCCAATCTTGCTCTCTCTCTCTCTCTCTCTTTCTCTCTCTTCCACACTCAGTCAATGTACTTTTTGTTACTATCATCAAATAACTTGAACAGTATCTTTTGTTAGTTTTTTTCTACATCACAATCCTCAAGATACCCACAATATTATCATTATTGTTATCATCATCATCATTATTATCTTGAGCTTTTGAATTGTTATGAAATGTCTGAGCCTTATAGTTGGTGAATACATTGTGCAAGGAGCAAAAAAATACATGTGATGATGATATACGGTGAGTATAACATCAGTGAAAGAGGAGGGAAAAAAACTATCTACTCAAAGTGGTTTTTCATATATGACATAAGCAATTGCATGTGTTCTGGTTCAGTTCAAAGATGATGAGCAAAATGATAATATGATATGAAAAAAACAAGGCAAAAGAAAAAAACTAACATTAGAAGCTCAGTTAAGCTCAAAATATTGCATATTTTCAACACCAATGTGTTCATGTAAATAGCTTAGTGTTCAATTAGCTTTTGCATAGTGTGAAGGCGATCATCGGATTGTGATTAATTTGCTAATCAATTGATTACTATCTCCATGATAATATATTTTTTTTCCTTCTCTTTTCCTCTTTAGCTTTATCTCAATATGTTGCTACCCTCGGTGGTATCGTTGCCTTTTCATGTAACGTCTCTGATTGGGGTGATGATACTGTCAGTTTAATGTTATTTTACAAAGATGGACTCAAAGTGCCTTTTTACAGTCTCGATGCTCGAGAAGTGCCTTTCCCTCAAGCTAAACGATTTGGTAACGATGATCGTATGTACGTCAATGAGACAACCTCACCTCCATCGCTTGTAATTAAATCAGTTAAACTTGAAGATGAAGGTGATTATCGGTGTAGAGTTGATTTCAGAGATGATAAAACAAGGAATTCATTATTTTCGTTAAAAGTTGTTCGTAAGTATTATAATAGTTTTTTCCTTCTTTCAGCATATATATTATGTAATATACAAAGTTACAACTGTAATAACACGTTCAATCAATGAAAGGGTATATAAAAAATAACTAAAGTTAATGATAACATTTTGTTCAAAAAGTGAAAACTTTGTTTCACTTTCATGATAACCCTTTCCACCTACTCAGTTGATATTTTCAACTCTCCTGTTTTCCATTGAGTTCAATCATTGACCTTATATTGATTTTAAAGTGATATAAAATTATCGATATATCTAAATGGTGTATATATAACATATAATTTCTGACTCCCAGCTGAGGGTGGATTTGTGGATGATGATGATGGTTAGTTGTAAGAATATACAATAAATAATAATATGTAAACAATGGAAATGTTATAAAGATAAACAGAAAAGTTCATTGGATAAAGTTTTAAGGTAAAAATGGGAGAAAGAAAGACAATTTATTTTTTCTTTTTAACTTTCTATTGAACCGGAAGAAAGAAGAAAAAAAAAGTTCAATATATTATATAATATGAAGAAATTTATATTTTCATATATTATCTTGATATTGACATTCAAGTGCTTTTTATAGCCACTTTAAAGCCATCACCATTATCGTCAACATGATGAAATTGTTATCATGGTTATCATGAGGGAAAAAGATGATTCTGAAAGTCTATCATTATCTTGAAACAAGTAAAGCAAATTTGACTCATTCAACTGTGAAAAAATTGTCTTGCTTTATTTTTTTCATGATGTTCAATGATTATTATCATTTTTAACAATCTAAGTTCTAATAGAATCTGAATAAATCTTCTTTATATCCATTCACCATGTAAATGAATCATTTTCTTCATGGAGAAAGTTTCTAGAGTTCAATTAATATTACGAGAATGAAAAACTAGACTCTAGTATATGATAATATTATCTAGACAGTGTTGATTTTATCATATGATATTATCCACAGACGAAAGAGATACAGAACAAAAAGTTGAGATTAAACTAGAATCCTAATTTTAATTGAATATATAAGATAAATGTTCATCTTTTTCATGGGTCTCTCTCTCTTTCTCTCATCATTATGATGAATAAATATTATTATTCAGACTATGGTGAAATTGATCAATCTATTATCATGATGGTATTACTCTCTGCATGAATTTTCTTGATGATTAAAGGCATGAACAAAAGAGGCTTAACCAATTTGAGATGAGAATATTATTATTATTATATTTTTTTATACACCATCATGGAACCTGAAACAATAAACAACAACAGAAAAAGCCAGAATGAACTTATAACTTATTAATGAGCTCGAATTATTTTTATATATAGTTGTTAACCTTTCACAACTTTCACCAGTTTAACCTCAGAACATGATGTAAATGAGTTATCTTCCCTTCCCAAGGAACATCACCAATCCCTTTGGTAACTGTGATGATTAAATATCAAGAATCAATTAAGAAACAGATCCTGACAGTATTAATTAAGCTAAGATGTATAACTAAAAATAATTAACATCTAAATGATGAGACCAAGAGGAAGAAGAGGAAAAAAACAATATTCAAATACTATTAATAATATTGCCTGAATTCAGTCAAGTTGAATCAATATGATTTCATGGTGAGAAAAATGAGATTATCAAGTTTCAAAAGTGATCCTTTAATTATCATGATTGTCTGTTGATTGATTGATTAATTCATTATTGATATTGGCTATTAAATATGTTTTAAGTTGAAACCTTTAATTCAATTAATCGGATAATTTAATCACAGCTTAATTTGAATCAATGTGCTGTTGAAATGGGATAAGCAAAAAAAAAACCGTTATCTCAATAGGGAAAAAGCATAAAATTAGATTAACATGATTAACAGCCTAAGTATTTATCACAGGAAAGTATTTATCATTAATTAATTGTAACAACTTTTGGGTAACAACAATTAAATTGTTAATGGTAAGACATTTAAACCCCAAGACTTGTTAATAAATTACAATTAATGAGACAATTATTGATGATGATCATCATCAATGATAAATGATTTGTATTTTTACCCTTAAATTGTGATCCGTTTTAATTACATTTTAATTAGTCTAATGAATTTATATATATGTATTATTTATATTGATTGATGACGATCATTAAATTGATTGAAGTGTTTGAAACAATTAATTTTCTAATCGATTTTACTAATTGTTATTAAAACAGATAAACCTAAAGTAACCGTTAACCTTGGTGCCAATTTAAATCCAAACAATATCAAGGAGGGAATCGATGTGATCCTTGAATGTAACATAATCGCTAATCCAAATATTTTTGAAATCGGTTGGACTTTCAATGATAATCCGGTAATTTCCAATCTATCGGATGGATTAATTGTTTCAAATAATTTTCTGGTTCTACAAAAAGTGAAAAAATCCCACCGGGGAAATTATCAGTGTATAGCAATTAACTCGGTTGGCGAGGGTCGTAGTAATCATTTTTTCCTGAGAGTTCAATGTAAGTATAATTTATGATAGATTCAATTTCAATCCAATTAATAATGAGCAACTTATTTAATAAGATTAGTATGATAATCCGAAGCCATTTATTGTACTTAGATATAAAAAGACAACGTTATTAATTATCGTTAATAACTGTTATTAATGAGGATAATCAACTATTTATTACCAATGTGATTGTTATGTTTCAATGAAAAGATTTATCTTTTCACCCTGAAAAAGATTCTGAGTCTTACTCAGCAATTGGGAGAAAATTTTTCTTCAAATTTTATTGTCAAAGTTTCTTCTTCTTCTTCTTCTTCTTCTTGATTCTCTCATCTTCTAACTTGGTTATTATTTATCATCTTTTGGTCAAGATGATGATGAGACAAAATTGTTTGATTATTAAGATTGTGATTGTGGTCAATGGTTATGATAATGATTTGGATGATGGTCAATCATGTTGATGAATAAAAATTGAATCCGGAAATTTGAAATGATTAGTTTTGTCAAATGAAAAGTATCACTGGTTATGGTCATTAATGTCGATGACCATTACAATACAACAACTGAAAAATGATCAGGAAATGGTCAAGGAAGAGTAAGAGGAGAATGATGATGATCAGAATTATGATGTTGATTAGGGAGAGAGAGAGAGAGAGAGATGGAGATAAATGAATAAGATAGAAAATTGTGTCATTAGAACTTTGAGTTTGATGTATGTGAATGAAGGGGAAGTGATGATAATTGTGAATTCTGTAAGTGGATAAGAAATGATAATAATGAAATGTGATTACGATAAATGGTCACTACCTATAGTTTACTGGTCAACTGAATTGTGGACAGTATCGTATTTATTATCATCATTATTGTTACATGTTGTCAGAAAATAATCTTCACTTTTTTTTATCGATAACATAATTCTGACTGGTTGTTTCGAGATAATTTCTGCTCATTTCATGCATTGTGTCCATTCATCAGAATTTTCTAAAATCAGATTAATAGTCAATTTTCCAGGGAGATTGGATCATCTCAATTCAATTGATGAACCTTATCTTCTTGATAATGAGACTAATTAACTTACATGGACTTGGATCATTATGTTCAATAGACAATTTCTTTAGATCTAATCATCAACTGATTTTAGGTCAACTAATCTGATAAAATTTTACAACTATTATTATAACTCGATAAGATTATCTGACCATGACAATAGATATAATCATTTGAGAATCAATTTGATAATGAATTTGTCTCAGATAAGAAATTGAGTAAAAGTGTCAATAGAGAGTATCAACTATCATAAATATGAATAAGATAAGGTGGATTTTTCAGTTAAGATTATGCTCAGGCTAAGAGGAGTCTATGAAAGGTTAAGGTATCAATTCAGCTAAAATCCTACAAAACGGAAAATTGTCCGAACGAAATCTGAGCACCCATTCATGAGAATTCAGATTCAAATTTATATTGTACTAAGCGCATTTGACTTTTAGAGCTAAATTCAGATGAGAGAGAGAGATTGAGATTAGACAATTAGATAAAGATTTCTAGATCACGATAGAAATCATTTAAGAATGATTCATTTAATTATCCTAAATGGTCTCTCAATTAACAAACTTTCGTAGAAAGTTTGTTCATTAATAATTAGTACAATTAGTTTTCTCGATTAAATTAACTTTTTCTCTTTGAGAAGATTAGATTAGATTAGACTGATGATAATTCATAATTGATATTCATCTGATTGATATTTCATTTGATTGAAAAGAAATAGTAAAGTCAATTATCGTCATTGGACATTGGAATCATGATTATTTTGGACTTCGAACTTGGTTTCGAGTTTAGTGAAACGAAGTCAAGTTTAAATTTCTCTTTCCTTTCAATCAAGTTTACGAATTCAATTTGTCTAATATAACTTAAGAAATTGAATTGTATATGAATACAACTGAATTTTTCAATTCCAATTCATTTCGAATACAATCAGACAAGTTACTCTCTTTTTTTTCCTCATGAAACTTTTCTAGAATCAAATGAATAATAATAAGCAATAATAATAGAAGAAAATTTTACTTCTTCATTGAGAAAGAATGAAACTGTTATCTCGATATGAAGATATTACTTTTTCTTTCCTTCTTCAAGTTTCCTCATTCCAAAATTTTGATTCAATCTCCATGATCATGAGACTAGAGTTCCATGTTTATATGTTAATGGAATTGAGAAGTAAAAAAAAAGTAGAGACTATGAGCTCAATAATGATAACTAAACAAAATGAAAAGGAGATGGTTTTTACTGTCAAGTGATGAAGAAAGGGAACGAGTTCAGCTCAATTCAGAGTTATCAAGGTTATTCAAAATCCTTCACTTTCTATGTTATCATGGAAAAGATAATTTGAAAACAAAGGAAGGCTTAGAGCCGAGGAAGAGTTTGGCTGAGTTATTTTCACTATCTCGGTGATGACCTTTCATGATACAAAATTTTCCTTCTCATAATTATCGCTCAGATGACATGGGGATGATGATGATGAAGAAAAGATTTACATTCATTCGTTTTCAAATGTCAGAACTTTTATCATCTTATGAGTGATTTCTTTTCTTTCGAGATTCTCTTCTTTTCTCTCTCTCTCTCTCTCTCTCTCTCTCTCTCTCTCTCTGCCTTTCTTTCATTTTACTGAGAGAAAATTCACCTCATGGACCATGAAAATCTCTTGACTCTATCCGTCAATTCCATGAGGCTCATCTTCATCTAATCCTGCAATCTTTTTCTTCATCTTCTCACACTTATCACCATGTTCATATTTATCTCTTGTCTTCTCAAATCGATATCGTTTGATCCAAAGATTCATTAGAACCCTGAAGATTGATAGCTCAATATAAATTTCCCAGATAAAGATGGTGAAAGAATCTGTTGAGAATAAATTGGTTCTAATGAAGATTCTGAGTTCTCATGGTAGAAATACTTTTATCCTCTTTATGTATTGAAATACATTCACATTCCCAGGGGAAGATGGAAAACTTATCATCAAAGGTTAAACTTAAATATTAATATTTTAATGAGGATAATCCAAGGGAAGAGAAAAATGTTTACTCACAATCCAAGAACTTTCCATGAACAGCTCATTTACTTTACCAGAGTCCAGAATTCTAGTTCTGTTTACTATTGAATTTTATCATCTTACTTTTTATTCATTAAAATTTAACATTTTACTTTCTAATATAAGAAAATCATGAGATAACATATGATCCTTTCGATAACCATGATGATATTGAATAAGGAAAATTATGTTTTCCATTTTGAGTGAAGGAAAGAAATTTGAGATAAATCAATAGAGAGAATTGATAAACAAACAATATCGAGAAATATTAATCATTGCTAATTCTTATTATCGTCATGATTTCTCCGGAAAGATTACTCATATTTGTTTGGTGATTTTGGATTCGAGATTATTTCCCAATCTTATTTAGTTACAATTCTGAGGAAAATGTTGCAATTTCTCTTGTTTTTGGTTCTATTTTCTTTTTTTACATAACATTAGATTGTTTTTCTTTTACCTTCTCAATTTAGAACTAAAATTAGCTATGGTTGGACCTCAATTTCTGGACAACTTTACAAACTCGATAGTCGAGGAAAAAAAAATTCGGTTAACGAGATTTTCTCTTTCATTTTAGAACTTTTTTTAGAACTTTTTTCATTTTCTTTCTTTCTCTTCTTCTCTCTTCCATTATCTTCACCACATTTCAAAGTCTTCCTTTTTGTACTATGAAAAAGAAATAGTGAAAATATAGTGAAAGATAAATAGGAGAAAAGTTTCTAAACTTGAACTTATTTGATTCTCAACAAATTTTAAACTTTTGGAAATTTTAAAATGTTGTGAACTTTTTTTGAGAAGTTTCTTATTTATATAATATATATATATCGAGAACTGGATAGAATCACATTCATGGGAATAAAGAGAGAAAGAGAAATAAACTGGAGATTTATGGTCTGAGAAATCATGTTCCTGATGAATTTGAATGACCCGATGAAGGATGATTAAAGTAAAATAACTTTCATGCTTGTGCGAACTTTGATTCGAATCGAAAATTGAACCTATTCCATAGTGACCTTACATTAAACTTTTTACATTCTTTGGGTAATAATTTTCTTATATTTCGATTCAATGTTCCAACCATTATCCTTGTGCATTACAAGTAATCATCTTTTTAAACATTCGATGGCAAAGGTCACGTAAGATTTGGAAAGTTAACCTTCAAAAGGAAAGAGGATCGAGCGAGAAAAAATCATTTCCATGCAAATAAAATTCAGTTATTCAATAGTAACATCAATTTCACTTAGAATTAAATTCTGTTATATTTCCAACTCCCTGTTATCCTCATTTCTATCCACTTTCAATGTATCCTGTTTATATCTTTGATTTTTTATTCTCATTCTTGGTACTTATCATTACTGTTATTATTATTTTATCATATTCAACATTCTGATCACATCAAAATCAACTGAGTGTGTTGATTTTTCATCATCTTATTCATTGTTAATCCTTTTTCAATCTTATTAATTTTTCATGTTAAGCTGAAAAGGAATGAGAATCAAGTCATTCAATCGTGTTAATTACCATGATAATGATTGAGATAAAAAACGTTCATTTGATGAATTAGATTTTTTTGGTTCTTCTTCTCGAAACTTTGAGTTTACTCAACCAATTGGTTACTTGTGAAAAGAATCAACCTAAATATGGATAATTTGTGCTCGAAAATTTAATTAGTTCAGCAACATTGAATTCCCTGTAAATTGATAGCTGGCCTTTTGTTACGTAACGAAAATCAATTATAATAGATGATATCAATGATAGATTATCTTATTATCTATCGTGATCATAATGAGAAATTAGTTATTTGATTTACCGTTATCTTTGGAATTGATTATTGGACAATCATCGTATCATCTCATTCATCAACTTATCTTAGCAAATGTTAACATCATTTAACACCAATTAAGAATCAAAGTGATTTAATCAGATTAATCAATTGATAGAAAATAAACTTATCGATTCTGAGTCTTTTATCATTGAAAGTTTATGATAATTTGTTGATGGTTTTCAATTAGCTTTTCAGGAAAATTGACTTGGATTTTATCAAAATTTTCAACATGAAATTCAAAGTGAGTCAAGAATTTTTCAACTCAGAATTGAATTGGAATAAAATTTCAAACAACTCGATTCTGGTTCATTAATATAAAATCTCCATGGTATCAATATTAGAATGCTATGAAATTATTTTCATCTAATAACATAAATGAGACAGAGTAAATATTTAAGAATACAAAAAGCAACTGATTAGATTGAATTATAATTGATTGATAAAAAAGTTCTGTAATTAGTAATGCTACAGAATATATATATAAAGTTAAATGATAACTTTACTATTTCCCTTGTGAATTTATCATCAATCAATCGTTTATTAAATGAAATTACAAGTTCAATTTGAAGGTTCATTTTGCTTCATATTTCATGATAAACTGAGAATTAATCTTGAACCTCTATCTGAGTTAGATGAAAATGTCATGTTAATATTACATTTAAGATTAATAATTGATTCTCAAAGGACTTGAAATGATGCTGATGAATAAATTATTATTATTATTAACATTATCATTGGAAAGTCAATCGTTTTAATAATAACAAATAACCAATGACAACAAAAACCAACATTGCCTACGGAATGATTATCTTTCTCAAGTTGGATGATGATAATAATGATGATGATGATGATGATTATCATCTGAATGTTAACTTAGCTGTATAAATAAAAACTGTTCTGGACGATAAAAGATAGATACATATTCATGGGGATTCAATTCTCTCTCTCTTGAGATGATAATAGTGTATTACCGGCAAAGAGAACGGAAGAGGAAGAGAGAGAGAGAGAGAGAGAGAGAGTTGGAAGATGAGAGATGGTGATGGAAGAGAACAAGGTAACAATATCAAATATTTTCTATCAGTTAATTGACTTTCTTTTGGGTTTAACGTTATCAGGCTTAAATATCCTTCTCTCTATTATCATAATCATCCTCATCTTAATCATCATCATCAACAACGTACTAAGTATTATCTTCATTACTTTATGTCTCCAATGTGATTTGTGGAATGAGTTTTTTTGATAGTAACTTTAATCTTAAAAGTCACGTAAAGATAATTTGATTCAAGAGATTCAGTAAATTGTTGTTTGGGTTTTTTTTCAAGTCTCCTTAGTTTTATTTTGTTTCATGAGAAAATTGTTCCATCATTTCTTATGGTCAGTCTAAGAAAAAATGTTGCTCAAATCAAAGATAATACAAAGAACCAAATTCAAATGAATCATTCAGTTGGGCTGGTCAATTTACTCATGATGAACAAACATTAAGAGTCCCTGAGATTTTCAGTCTAAATTACGAACTTTTTTTTTCATTATTCTTTTCTCTCTATTCGAAACTCCAATTCAATGGATCAACTTTTACTATTTCCTCTCACTCCCAGTTATCTACTCTATCTCTCTCCCTGTATGTGTATATATGTGTGGTTTACTCTACCTCATCCTCTCTTCCTTAACATAATCATCATGTTTTATTATCATCAATGATTCTTTATATTCAGATAAGAATCTATATTCACTTTTGTTCATCAACAAGATCATTTATCATCAATCAAAGTTGTTAGTTAAACAATCGAACACAACATTTTACTTAGATTATCCTTGATTTTTAGTATATATTTTTTCAGCTGCTTCATCATCATCATCATCATCATCATTCTCATCCTAATACTTTACCTTTATCTTTATTCCTGGAAACCATTTCATTGACCAATTCATCAATGATATAATATTTACTTTCCTATTTTGATCAGAGCAAAAAGAGATAATAAAATAGCCGCAAGCATATAATTATATTGTAACTGAGGTGAAGTTACCTCATCATTATCAAAAACTGTGAGTGAGATTGTTCAGTTTGATGGAGGAAAAAATTAACTTCATGATCATCATGTTTCATCTTTTAATCTCATACTTCCTTTACATTATCCCAAGGAAGAAAGTGATCTAAAAGTTGCCAAGAAAATAGAAAGAAAAAACAACAACTGAAAAAAGAAGAAGAAGAAGAAGAAGAAAATTCTGATAACTCTGAATAATAGAAGGCGAAAAAAAGTAAAGTTTCAACTGGAGAAAACTAGAGATTCTCATTATCATGTAATAGGGAATCATTATCAACGAAATAGTATTTATATATGAGTTACAATCGTTACAATGAAGAGGAGAGGAAAAATTTTCTCTACCAACGAAAATAGTTTTATCACAGATGATAACTATTATCATCCTCATCCTCATCATCGTTATTAACAACTATTATCATAATGATTATTATTATCATCATTTTATCCCAATGAGTTCAACTAATGACAATGTCACCCAAACTAATGAAAATATTATCATTTTTTTTTTTGGCTTTTCACTTTTTCTTGCTGATTATGTTTCTTGTCTCATTAACAGTCGCTCCAATTTGTAAGCCAGATCAACAATTAGTTTATCCTATTGGTGCAAGTGAGGAAACTTTAATCAGCTGTTCTGTTGATGCTGATCCAGATCAGATATCATTTAAATGGTATTTAAATAGCTCATCAACTAATTATGGGATAAACAATTATACCGTTAATGAGACTACAAGTTATTTACTTTATTCACCAAAAAATCGTTACGGTTATGGTTCAATCTATTGTACATCTTCAAATTCAATCGGCCATCAAAAGGATCCTTGCTCATTTAATATTATCCCTCCAGGTAAAGTATATTAATACTTGTAAACATCAACATTAATTACATCTAATTACTTAGAGACTTTTCCATTTGGATATTAATATTGATGATGGTCAATGAATCAGTTTCAAGTTAAACATTGTTATTGATAATGAATTTATTCCTGATCAATTGAGATTCTCTATTTTCTCTCATGTTATTAATATTTGATGGCAAACATTTCACTTGATACTCTTGGATTCTCAATGTATTTTCATTGTTATTTTTACTCGCTTCGTATATTAGTGTTGGTGTTTGTTTTGTAATCAATGAACAAAATGATTGATTGATTGTATCATTTATCATTATTACCATGTGATGTACCAGTGAGAGTGTAACAATTAATTAAGATTGATTGAGAATTAAACATACATAAGGCCTAAAGAACCTCTACCAGCAACAAACAGGAAGGATGAATGGAGAGGTTGTTATTTTTTTTTCTGTCGACTCAATTGGAATTAACGGTAAAATCGATTATCGTCTTCTACTATCGAGTTTTCATTTCGTTGGTTATCAAGAATGTTAGTATTCCAAAGAAATCATGTGATCTATTTTCTTTCTCCATCATCATCTTCATCTTCATCTTCATCATCAACTGACAATAGGAATTAACAATTCTTATGAATTAGCAGTTTTTTTCTGTTTCATCTTTGATTTTTTTTCTTCCTTCTCTTCCTAAACATCAATAAAGTGTATCAACGAACCAGTAATCATGACAAGTTACACCAATTGACAGGGAATCATTTCAACTTTTCAATATTATCACATTTGGGTGATAATATAATCAATTGCGAAATTGTTTACACTTTAAACACCATTAGATGATAATGTACATTATCAAATGATAGTAAATGTTTCTAACTGTTAATTCATCTTCATTTGGAAACTATCAGTTATCTATTCTGTCATTAGATTATCAGAAAGTATCAGAACTTTTTTTTTCTCATCACATCTTTATTCAGGAATCTTTTTCTCTACTTTTTTTTCCCTGTTTATTTTTATCGTTGTTTGAACTCTTTTTTTTTAAAGTTTAATTTAATTTTCAAAATGGTTAACTTATTGGATTCTCTATTTGTGATTGGTCAACACTTGGATGAACCGTTTTAATCAATTGAATGATTTTCTAGAAAATCATTGGTTACATTGGGAGATGATGAAGATGAGGATGAGTAAAATTTTCTGCTTACTTTTACTGATATTTATTCATTTAGATGAGTTGTAATATTTGAAGATAAAACTGAATTTGGAATGAACTTTTTCATTTTCATTCTCATTCAGTGTTATCTTTCAGCTCATCTTTTACTCAGGTTGAAAGTTCATCACCATAGGAATTTATTTGCAAATATTTTTAGCATGGTAATTTACTCGATTCAGTAATTATCTTTATTGAAAGTTAATTGTCAATATGAATAATGATTATAAACAAAAAGTCTTGAAAGAATGAAATTTTTATTTTTCTTCTCATGTGTATATTATATATTTAGGATTCATTTCAAGTGCATAAGATAATCTTAGAATGAGATTTCAAGATGAATGAGCTTTCAACATGAATCCATCATGGTAGTTACATTTTCAGGGGTTGATAAATTTACATTGTAAGAATGGGAAATATTTTCAAGACATTAATGACTCTGGATGGAAATGAGGAAACATGATGAATTTGTGAAACTCGTATCATGAAGTGAACACTTTTCCTATTAATAGTTTACTCGTTACTTTTCATGATGGTGAAAGATATTGTTACTTTTATTTTCATACAAAATTCAGAGTAAATAGTGATGAAAACCATGATTAATGAATAATATTCATAAAGTTTCAACGATTTTTTCATCTTCCTCTTGTGTTTCGATGAACCAGTGAAACGTTTTTTTTGTTCAAAAATTGTTGACAAGAAGAGATGAAAATTCTGGGACATGGGAAAAAATTTTAACATGAAATGGACAAGGAATTGATAATCTATATATTGGACTGAGAGTTTCCATTATTCTTAAATGAGAACTATTTTATATCAAGAAAAACTGAGTCGATAACAAAACATCCAACCAATAAGTTATTTCCATGATAAAACCATAAATTTCATCTTCATTTTAGAGAGAGAGAGAGAGATATTTATTCTTGAAACTCTGAAATATAACAAGAATTTTTTATCATCATGTAAGTTATTTACTATCATGATGATGGAAAATGACAGTTCTTGGAAATAAGTTTTTCTAATGTAAATCCAGTCAAGGTAAATGTTGATTGGTTGATCGAAATATTCAGTTCAATCTAATGAGAATTGGATCAATTCGAGAAAACTTTTTTTCCCCTCTTGAATTGTGTATACATGATAAGATTTTTATCTAACTACTTTCATCAGAATTTGATGATAATTAGAGTTATCAAGATGATTGTTATTACTCTCATTTCAATCTAATTCATGTTAAATATAAAAGGAAACAGTTTCATGTTCCAATCAAAATCAGTTGATTTATCTCTTGAAAGTGGTTCCAATAATTTACTTTGTATCTTAAATCTTTGCTCATTAATGATAACCTGGAGCAATAATAATAACCTAATCAAGTTGAAATTTATTATACTCATTTTGATCAGGAAAATGATTCCATGATAATTATTTCTCCATGAGATTAATATTCTGATTGTGAATAAAACTTAATCAAGGGAGAAAAAGGGAAAAGATAATAACTAATACACATATTACCTGATAACATGTATCATTATCAGGAGTCATTGAAGTTTATGATGATAATAAACAATCATTAATATCTCATTGACTGACTTAACCAACTGTCAACCATTTGATAGTAAACAGTTAATTGCTGATTGTTGATAGTTAATCGTTGACATAAACACACATACATCGTAACAATTACTAAAATGAACAACATTATATTGAACGAGAAAATGATTCCTAATTTCATGGGAAAGTTATGGATAAATAAAGAGTGAGAAAAAAAGTTCTAACATTATTATTATTCCAATATTCTGATAGATATTATCATGATTGGAAGAGAGAGAGAAATACAATATCATTAAGCAATTTTTTTCACTTCTTCCAAAGAATTAACTTAATCAATATTAGATTGTGTTCCAAGTGTTGATGAATCTAAACAACGTTGATAATATGAATTGCTAACAAACCATCAAGTTCATGAACTGAAACACCAAGCATAAGATAATTGAATTATCGTTGATTTGAACAATTATTTTTCGTTTGTCTTGATCATGATCAAAGGTATTCCAGTGAAGGTGGAAAATTGTACCATGAAGAATCAATCGTTAACTGGATTATTAGTTGATTGTTCGACTACCCCACTTACTGGACCTTCGCCCATTTACATTATCGATGTTTATAAAGCCAAAACCCGTGAGAAGATAAAAAGCCTTACCAATAGAGATCGTCCAACGTTTTTACTTCAAGATTTATCGCCTCAGGGTTATTATGAATTATATGTTTACTCTAAGACCACTGGAGGTCAAAGTGACCCTGTCTCCCTGAAAGCATCTTTATCCTCGACAACAATGACACATAATCAAATGAAACAAGGTAAGTTTCCGTTTCAATGGATAACAGTATTAAAGATTGTTTATCTTTGTTCATTCTGAGGAGCACAATTTACCGTTATTTTTTTCCATCCATTATTTGTTTGTATTTGAAAAATTTTAATTCGATTACAAATGAAATCCATCCAATCAGCAAGACTCATCATCAAAGTTCAGATGAACATCAATTTAATAAGTCGAGTTGAGTTACTGTTTTACTTTAGTTGTTTCAAGTTTGGGAAACGGAAATGGTTTTATTTTTTTTTTGCAAGAATCGGAAATTGAGATATTACACTTACAGTTAAAGAAATGATGTTGAACATGGTGGTGAAAATTGATTCATTTCTCATGGTTGAAATGTAAATTGAACGGAAATCTGATAAAACTCTGAGAGATACTTGATTTGATTATAATAATTTAATAGTTGAGATAATTTTTCAATAATAATGAAAGAATTATTAATTCAAGAAAAGAAGAAGAAAAAAAGTTGTGATGAATGAATGGATAAAATTTATGAATGAATATTAATTTGGTGATAATTTAACATTCTCCTTAACAAGATCAATAGCTGAAGTTGTATTAACAGTTGAATAACTGTCAAAATGAGAGAGAATGGTTAAGACAATGATGATTATGAGCGAGATATTGAATCAATATAATGAAAAGTTGTTGATGGTTCGAATCCATTTTCGGATAAACATTTCACAAGGTTGACAATGAGTTCGACGTAACCTTTTGTCTTTATTTCCCTTTTTTTCCTTGCTCGCTTTCTCTTATTTTCTTTTCTCATCATTATCATCTTTATCTTCATCTTCTCTTTCATCATCTTCTTTTTTCTTTCTCTTCCTCCTCTTTCTTTTCATCATCATTAAAGATATTACCAGGGAAGATACTTACAGTCCTTTGTTGGTTATATTAATGGCCATTGTTGGAACTATTCTCATCATTATCATCATGATTATATTGGCTATAAGAATCAAATCACATCGTGTTGAGGTTACTGACAGAAGACAGGGTAAGTTCACAATCTGTTTTCATCTTCATCTCTTCTCATCATTATATTAATAACTTATCCTGATGATGATTGGAATTATAATAATAATCATCGTCAGGATAATAATAATAACCTTTCAATCAGTCAAATCTTATCAGTTTATCTAATCATCTCCTTTAGATTTTATTGTATTGAACACCCTGAACATAGAGAGAGTGAAAGAGAGAGTGCAAGCGAGAGAGCGAGAGAGAGAGAGAAATTCTTAGACTAAGAATAAAATAGAGACTGGATTTTCCTCCGAGATAAATTATCATGATTCTGTATTAGGATTAATACTAACATTTAGTTTACTCTTAATCCTAACAATTAGCTCATATCAATGTTAGATAATGAGTTTTTTGATTATTGTTTAATCGCCATGTGTAATCATCTTTATAATTATCTATTGTACATTATTGTTATCATGTTTTAATAAATTCATGATAATCATTAGTTTATTGGGCAACATTATATTTGATTGATTCACAATCATAAAATAATCATCATCATATTGTTAGGGTATTGATTAACTTGACGTTTATCATAAATGTTTATCTTTCACCAAATAAATCAATTTGAATGATAAGATTAATCTTTGATTTTATTATTATCATTATGATAATCATATGATGATATGATTATTAATTTTTGACTAAAATAATTATTGATATTTTTTATCCCAATCATTTAGTTGGACCTTCAACCGCTTATTACGATGAATCAAAGTAAGAATTTCATTTCCAAACAAAACCTCAAATTCTCAATTCTTAATACTGAATTTTTCTTCTGCCCTATTTCCCCTCAGGTCATATCCCAGAATAACACAGAAAGAGAAAAGCCTTTGTGATCTAGTTAATATCGATAAAAGCCTTCCAAACGGAGACATCTCATGTTTCCAGAATCCTTATGGTGAGTAATCAGTTATGGTTCATTTGAATTCCTAAATAATGATTGGATCATTTTTCTGTCTCAACTTTAGATTATCACAACATTAAACAAACCATTGAAATGACATTAAAACAAAATAAACTTCCGATTCCAATGAGGTCAACAATGATTCCTGAAAGTCCAACAGTCAAATCATATCAGTTATCCTCATCTTCAGTAAAGGTTAGTTCCAATGATCAGTTATTTATTTTTTCTCTTCCGATGAATCTCATGGAAAATTCTGTGACATTTTCCTTAGCATTTATATTTTATATTGGTGGAGACGATTTGCCCATTTTCGAGTCTTAATACGTTTCCAAGTTAATTTCGAAATGACCAAAATTTCCAATTTATTCTTTGTATTGAATCATATTTGGAAAGATATCATTAGTATAATATGAAGAATATATTTACTGAGTTTTATGATACCTCTCTCTCCCAGAATTGTCTACCTCACCCTAATCTTATGGACAGAAATGTCAAACGTTGAAAAGTGAGAAGGAAAAAAATGTATTCCAAGTTATCTGGTATTCATATTCATGAATACCCATGTACTCAGATGTATTGGTCTCAGGTGAATTTGAAATTTGAGATGGAATCAGAAATGGAATCGTAATAACAAGATGAACATTTTCCTTATCCATTTTTCAGAATGATAATATTACTATTACATTTTATGTACTTTGTTTTGTTATCTTTTTATCATCATCATGACAAAATTTACTCGAATAAGGAACTGGAACAACAATTTTCAGATTCAGTAGAGAAGTAAAAAAGTTCAGTAATATTTTCAAATTTTTTATTCTCATCCTTTCAGGGGAGATGGAAAAGAAAAAGTTCTAAAGACAAAATGTTTAATAATAATACCTACAAGTCGATTCAAATTGTAGTAGGAGAAAAATATTCTACTCGAATCTGAAGAGAATTTATTATTTTCTATTTCTGATAATGAGAATAAAAAACATTATTCCAATGATTAGAACTTTTATTTTTTCTCTCTTCTATCCAAATCAAATTAGATTCTAAAACTGTAACTGAATAGTTTTCGGAAACTTTATCATGTTGTTTCAATTCTGTCGACTTAGAAAATTTTCTCAAAAAGATCGTAACATGATAATGAGAAGAATAGAAGGAAAAAAATTGAACTGTTCAGATAAAAAGTGTTCGTTAGTCTATAAAATTGTTTTTTCCTAAATCGGAAATTTAAACCTATTTTGATTATTAATAGAATTTCCAAGAAAATTTCATTTCTTAAGTCTGAACAATGTCTCGGAACTCATGAACTATCTGTTAATATATTATTATCTTTGTCTCTCTCTGATTGTCGATTTGAGTGTGAAAACTTTGCCCTAGAGGAAACTTAGTCCATGGACTTTCAGTTCATTCCTAATGTATCATGATAACAATCCATCATTGAGTCTCTCAGAATTTCATCATGCTGATAATAGCCCACCAGCTATTTATTTATCTTATCCATTAGAAGAATAGAATGAGAAAAAAGTGCCAACAAAAGTAAAATTAGAAACTTTCAACAGAATGAGAAAACCAAGATTCGGACACCCTGATATTATATCTTTGACATTGATATGATTAGCTGATAGCATTTCTTTTAACAGAAAATGCTATCATGTTACATGATGAAAAATCTTGTTTTTTTTCATATCACATTTTTTTTCGTTCGTTATTTTCAATCTGAAAAATCAGATTCTGTTGGAATGATAATTTCCAAATCACAGTTAGATAAATGGTTAAATTGAAATGCTGATGATATTTTATCAGGAAAAGTGAAATTGATGAGGATTGTGTTGAATTGTTTGTGACAATCAATAGTATTCAGTGTAAAGGGATAAAATGAGAATATATTTTAGGCTTTTTCCTTAACTTTTTCCTAGAATTTTATCAGGACACAGAATCCATTCAGATTTATTCATATGTAGGTTTCCACATCCTCCATGATAGTTATAAATCCATTTATTATTTTATTTCCCATTGAGATGAATATCACTTTTGAATACACTTTTCAACACAAGGGAATGCAAAATTTTTCTCTCCTTTTGTAAAAATTGATGGTTATGATAAAGAATCAACATTTTCCTCAGTCACTTGTTACCATTCAAATGTTTATCTTTTTTTTTTCATCTTCTTTTCTGGAGTCATCTTTTTGTTACCATTTTCCTTTTTATCATGATCAATGGTCAATGATAAATGTTGATATACATTCAACCTGAAAATTTTCAGAACCATCATGAATATCAAGAGAGAGAGAGAGAGAAAGAGAGACCAACATTTTCTTTAGAAGAAGGAAAAAAAAGTTCTATCCTTCAGTTCATAAGTTAAGGTTGATTATATTCTTTGGAATAGTAAAACTAATGAGTAAGTAGTTGATTGTAGATCTCATCAGTATATTAAGATTCTTATCCGGGTTTGATACGTTTTCTCAGGGGAAAAATGTCCAGGAAGTGAATGAGTTTCAAATGATAATCTTATTATTATTATGGAAAGTTAATCTTACTTGCTAATTAACCAAGTTAATCACAATTGACAATCCAAAGGAATTATCCTCAGCTTGGGTGGATCTTTTTATCTTCAAATTAAACTGTTCTAACAAGATAAACATGATTAACTTTTATCGATAGTTTTTAATGAACAAAAATTTTCGCCAAACAATTAATCTGATAATTAACTGAATTTAGTATTAGTATTTGTGTATATGATTATGGAGATTATTGAATTTTTGTTCACCAGAAAAACTGATTAATTATTGATTATCTCATTAAACCAACCTGACCAGAGGTGAAACTCATTAGCATTTATGACAATTAGTGTTATAATTATTTAATCACTGAAAGTAAATTATTAAGATTTTCATCCCATCCAAATTCAAAGTACAGGGAAAAGTTTAGCTGAACTTTTTTTTTTTAAATTCTGATAAAACCCATGTTAATCTGGAACTTTTTTTGAAACTTTTTCCTCATCATGCTCCTTATGGTATCTTAATCACATGGGATGAGTTTACATTCAGTTTACACATAGAATTCAGTAAACATGGTTGTATTAATATTTACCTAGATGAGAAAAAATAATAAGAGAATTGTGAGTCTTTGGATTCTGTATGAAATTCAAGATGGAAATGAAAACATAAAGATCTGGAAAAAAAAACTGAATTCACCATGGAATTGAATCTCGATCTAATTGTTGTTCACTATTTTGAGGTTTCACTCAATCTTCAGAATGATTAATGGTCAGAATTTTGTTCATTATTCAACTCGGTTCAATATTAACCCTTTTTCTTTTCTCCCAATTCCGAGTAAAATTATATAATATATAAGATGAAATAAGAGTAATGATAAAAAGTGAGTACATATCCGAAAATGAATCAATCAAAGTTTAACACTAATCTTGGTAAATCTTTTAATGTTTTATCAATGATTATCCTCTTGTCACGTTATCCTTTTACTATTATTTTCCGAAATCAGATTGGATTTCATGTTATCCAGACATTTTGTACTATTAAAAAATTGATAACATTCACAGTAGAGTAAAATATTAAATCTTATCATGAAATGAATATTCTGATTCCCTAGTTACTCATGGATTATCTCATGTGCCTTTTAAATGTTTCATTTTATATCTCTCTCTCTCTCTCTCTCTCTCTCTCTCTCTTCCTCATCTTAATCTATCCTAGGGAACTTTGGTTGAGGAACATGTTCGTCTGAGAAATTTATCTTCTTCTCTTGAGGATCCAGGGAAAGATTCCAAGATATCGTTAATCAGTGAAACATGCAATCAACTTCTAATAGATTCTGGCTCTATGGTGAACGATGAATGTTCAGATAATGATCTTATCCCTTCAGATGCAAGTTTAATGAAAAATATCAGAATCTCATGTGATGGAAGTGAAGTTACTGTAAGTAATATAATTAACTAATTGTTATCTTACTAGAAAGTTAAAATACACAATGTATCCAATGGTCTTGTGTAACATTTAGTTCAGTTAACAGGCAAGGATTTAAAATGAATACCTGATTAGTGAAACATACCATGAATTTGGTTTTTTTTGTTCATTCTCCATCACCAAAGTTTATTCATCTGAGTTTGATGTTTCTTTTTTTATATCATCATCATGTTGTGTTAATTGTGCAACAATTTACTCATCTTTTGGGTTCAGATATCATTTCAACTTCCGCGGGAACAAATAAGTCCAATGACAATTGTTGATAATAAGACTACCCTGGTTTAAGTTCAATCGACTGGATGAGTTCTGATCAATTGGAACTATGTGATTAAATAGAAATAGAGAGAAAAAAAATCGTCGAAATGTAAAAATGTTTGAATGTTTGGATACAGAATCCAAGGTAAATATTATCATGATGAAATTTTCTTTCACCAATCATATGTTTCACATACTAATTGAATTTCTTGTTTTTTTTTTGCCAATCAAATTAAACACTTCGTATGATTACTAATAGTTACAAGTAATTCAATTTATTCGCTGATTTATCAACAGTTTCTCTAAATTCATGATATTGAATGTCCTCGTCATGATAATTTGGATTGTCCATACAATGAGAAAATCCTTGTGGACAGCTAATAAAAAAAGTGGTTCGAGTTTTTGATTCACAAGAGGCTCTGGAAAATAATTTCGATCAACGAAATGTTATCAAGCTGATATTTTGATCTTATATCGTATGGATTTTGTTTTCTCGTCAACTCAATTGTCAATGAAGGATAAAGAAAATGTCCCAATCATGTCAATCAACCAAAGTCATCATGACAAAAATGACCACGCAATTGACCAGAAGGAACCTTGGCTTATACATAATCGCTGTGATTCAAACGAAAGTAACACTGTGATAGCTCATAAATGAAGCTCTTTTTTTCAGCTCAACTTGGAAATTTGAAAACTTTCATCGCCATGAAACTGAACCGGACTAACGAATGAAATTAATACATTGTAACCAAAACTAATAAGTCCAAGGTGAAACTTTTCAATGTCAAAATTTACTAAAAAAAGATAATAAAATAGCTAATAAATATTAGATCAACATTGAACTATTATTTTTTTTAATCAATTTTAGCTCACATGGTGAGTGTGCTGCTTGGAATCATGATGAATGTTGTATTGATATCAATAGATTTCAAATCAATGTTGATGCAATATTTATCCAACTAATGGATTTCATGAAGATAACTCAGCATTTCCAGATGAAAATATTATCATGGTAGAAATCAGAATTCTGTGTAAGGTGAATTGTGGGCTCAATCAATGAGATCAAGTTAACGTATAACTTTATTATCTTCACTCTTGAACTCAGGTGTGTGTACCCATGATGGAAACTTTGATGAAATCATCAGAAAATGAACTATTATAAAGAAATAAGTTTTCATGAGTGAGTAAAAATGTTGGAACTTTTTTCTCACTTTTTTTCACTCTATTCTTTACCTTTTTTTTTACTGGTAAAAGTTATTCTCAGTAAATCATCATGAGTCAATCAGGGAGAAGAGTAGAAACTGAAATGAAATCAATTCCATGTTATTATATAACAATTGTAAACTCTCAGAACTTTATCAATTATCATCTATCCTTAACTCTCTCTCTCTCTCTCTTTTAATTGAAATGTTTTCTTGAAAATGAATCAAATCATTTCTCATCTTTTCCCTTGACTCATTTCATGATAACCTTATCCATCCAAGATGATATTTCATCCAGGGATAAATAATGAGATAAGGTATTAATACAAAGTGAAAACTATAATATTACTTGATGATTATGAGTGTAAAGGTTGAACATGTTTCAGAATTATGAATTTATCTGAACATGATTCTTGAACAGCATCATGATGCAATTATGCAATAAAATCAAGTAAATTACTCTACATGAAATTGAGTAAATATTGAAACAAAAAGCTCACTTGCTCACTCATTCACCTTTTCTCTCTCACAAATCATTCTCTCTCATTCTCTCCCGTTGCTTTATTAAATTGTGATAATGTTTCATCACCAATCAGACTAAGTGAAAGTTCATTGAGTAAATTCAATTCATCACTAAGAGATTACTATTAATACAATCAGTTCTAATCGAGTGAAAACAAAAAAATTACTACAGTTTTTTTGTATCAATGAAAAGTTCAACTTTTTGAGAGATAATTTTGTCTAAGCAACTTTGTTGATTCGATATTGGCACTGAAAATTTACCTGCCAATTACCCTGAAGACATTGAAATCGAGGTAAACATAAGGTATACTTACTATTTATTGGTGAACTTTGACTTACAATGAGTCGAGAATGAAAAAAAAGTCACCAAATTAATTCAATAACTGATGATAACAATCAAGAATTTTCAGTAATCATGGTAAGTTTGATTTCCCTCGATGAGATTCAAAATCGAGTTAAAATTGTTTTCTTCGAATTTCTGTCAATTCTCTATAAATATAGGTAATTTTTTATTGCCATTTTTTTCCTCATCACTCTTATCATGCTTATTATCATGAAAAGAACAGAAAGAATATATTATTATTACATCAGAATTCCATATTTCTGAACAATATACTCATGCATCAATGAACTTCTGTTGCTTGATAATAACATTTTTCTATCACAAATTTCAACTGTTCATTGATTGATCGATCAAACTGAAAATTGAGTTCCCATATTATCATTATCAGAATAATATCAATATAAACTGAATAATAACAGAATAAAACTCGCTGAGGCCGATAAGTAAGGTGGAATGAAAAGAAGAAGAGGAAAAAAAAGTTCTAATACAAAATTATTACCTCAACCGTTTAATTTGCCACCTCTTAGCTTGTTATCATTCTGATCATGATGTTAATCATCTTTAATTAACTCACTGAGAGTATCAAATCTATTATGAATAACAATGAATTTCAATGTAAATAAATGTTGAGAATTTTGGAGAAAAAAAAAGTTTTTTTCCTCTCCCTGTATTCATTTTCCATGAGGTTTATTTGTTTATCTTACATATTCTCAATATTATGTAATATTAACGATCAATAAAATATTATCAATAAGTCTCTCGAGTTCTGGATGGGTGAAACTCTGAATAAATACCTGAGGGTGTTATTCTTGTGGTGGTGGTGGTGGTGATGGTGGAAATTACCATGAGTAGCCTCAGGTTATCATCTGAAGTAAAAGCGATTGGATAAAATTGGATATTATCGGCAATGTTATTCACCATCAGTGGAGATTAGTTTTTTTGTAAATATACTTTTACTCCAGTTTTTGGGATGTTTTTTACTCTGTTACTATTTGCATACGAATATTATATTTAAATACTATCATGTTTATAGTGAAATATTGTTACAATTTCGAGTTGGATGAGTTATCATGAGCTATTCTGCTTGTTTATTCTGATTCTAGAATGTGTCTTAGTGATTGATTGAGAATACGAAATCATTGTGACTTGAAATCGATTATGTTTTTTTATATATATCATTCTCTCGGTGGAATCATTTGAAACATTCATCAAAAGTGAATAAACTTTTTGCTCGTTTCTCGATTTGAACTTTTTTTTTCGTCTCTCAAATGATTGACAGCAAGATTTTTATCTGATTGATAATTTAATTGTTTTCATTGGAAATGGTCTGATTACAGTTTATAGCAGTTATATTTTTGATTAGAGATTAATTTGGATTCTGTGATTTCTGGATGTCCATTGTATTAACTTTTTGTATCATTTGTCCATTTGTTTTCCGAGTCATTGGTTGGAGATTATCATTTGTTTCCTCTGCTCTCTCTATCGTTTTCTAACCGAGAAGACCTCCAAGGAGACCTCCGCTTGATGATCCGCTTGCACTGACCGAGGACGAACTTGAGCCTGAACTTGATCCACCGAGACCAAGAAGTCCACCGCCTGAGGATCCACTAGATGATCCACCACCTAATAGACTTCCAAGAAGACCTCCAGATGATGATGATGATCCTGAGCTTGATCCTGATCCTGATCCTGATGATTGAGATGACATGGAACTAGAAGATGAACCTGATCCAGAACTTGATCCACCGCCAAGGAGACCAGTTGCAGTGTTCAATACACCTCCAATTAGTCCACCGTTAGATGATCCTGAACTACCACCAGCTCCTAAGAGGTTTGTAGCCGTGTTTAAAACACCACCGATGAGTCCACCTCCTGAACTTGATGAGACACTTGAAGTGGTAGATGAACCAAGTCCATTATTGGCTGAGCTTGAGCTCATCTGATTAAATGAACCAGAATTAGTTGATGAACCATAGGTTGATTTAGCTGATGATGATTGACTAGAATCATAGATTGACTTTTGATTGTTGGAGGATAAAAAGGCTGAATTAGAATTTCGCAAATCTGATGCTGATTGTGAAGTTGAAGACAATCGATTAATATTACTTGAAGAGTAATCAGAGTTGGCTGAATTTTGTAAATTAGTTGATTGTTGTTGACTGTTGAAAGACTTTGATGAGTTAATTAGATTGTTGTTACTGGTTGAGGAAGAAGATACCTGATTGTTTACTGAACTTCTAATATCATTTGATGATCGATTGAGAACATTTTTTGAACTGTAAGCATTGTTAACAGAATTTGAATTAACATTTGATGATCTTATTGAATTTGAATTGTAATCGGAATTAGCTACATTGTTTACTGATGATAATGATGAAACATCGGTTGATGATCGGACGGCATTGGCTGAATTGTAAGCATTCATTGAGTTTACGTTTGATTGTCGGTTCAAACTATTGACTGAGTTAACTGAACTTTGTTGAGTGTTGGAATTGATATTAGCTGATTGACTGATTGAGTTTGAATTATAATCAGAATTGGCGATATTATTGACTGATGATCGGGATGAGACATCGTTTGATGATCGGGCGATGTTGGAGTTGAAACTATTCAATGCACTGGTACTTGATTGTCGGTTTAAATTGTTAACTGAACTTTGTTGGATATTTGAGTTGATATCGGCTGATCGACTAACTGAGTTGGAGTTATAATCGGAATTGGCTACGTTGTTTACTGAGGATAAGGATGAAACATCGGTTGATGATCGGACGGCATTGGCTGAATTGTAAGCATTCATTGAGTTTAGGTTTGATTGTCGGTTCAAATTGTTGACTGAATTAAGGGAAGTTTGCTGAGAGTTTGAATTGATATTAGCTGATCGACTGATTGAATTTGAATTGTAATCGGAATTAGCTACGTTATTTACTGAGGATAAGGATGAAACATCGGTTGATGATCGGGCGACATTGGCTGAATTGTAAGCATTCAATGAGCTGGTGCTTGATTGTCGGTTCAAGTTGTTAACTGAGTTAATTGAATTCTGTTGGGTATTTTGGTCAACCGATAATCGGTTAATGTTTGATTCATTGTTGATTAATGAATTTGATTGAGAGTTTCGAGAATCATAAACGGCATTATTGTTACTGTTAACAGTTGATGATCGACTAACTTGTGAGTTGATTAAGTTTTGATTGTTAACTGAATTACTGGAAATTGCTGCGGTTGAAGTTGATCGATTCACATCAAATTGATTAGTATTTTTCAAAGAAGTTTGCGAATTGATTAAAGCTGATTGTTGATTATTTATGTTTACATTATTGTTTACTGATCTATGATCTTGATTGTAGGTTGAATCAAGGGAATTAACTGATTGTTGGACGTTTGATGATCGACTGACACTGTTATTGTTAATCGCTGAATTGGCAACGTTGGTTGATGAAGTTTGTTGAACATTTCGAGAGACTGAATTATCGTAAGAATTGTTAATATTATTCAAAGAGTTAGAATTTGATTGAATATTAGTTGATCGATGATCCAATTGATTGTTGATATAATTGTTGTTAGTGTTGGCTGTTGATCGATGGTTAAACTGATTGTTGGCTGATTGTTGAATATTTGATGATCGGGAGGTTTCATATTGATTGGCAATGTTGTTACTGTTAATTTGATTGTTATTAAGTGTTGATGATCGAGTATCATATTGATTGTTAACTGAATTAATATTGTTTGATGTTTGATAATTAGTTGATGATCGAGACTTATTAATATCAACTTGATTGTTCATTGAATTAACATTTCGATGGATTTGATGATTACTTGTGGCTGATTGTCTTCTTACATTGTTGTATCTTTGCTCATCATTAACCATATTGTTAATTGAATTAACATCATTAACATCATACTGTTCATTAACTGAGTTGATATTGTTCACTCGGTTGATACGATTGACTCGATTGATTCGGTTGATTCGGTTGATTCGATTAACTCGATTAATTTGATTCACTGAATTGAGATCGGAAACATCTGATGAATAATTAACATTTGACTCGAGGTTTGAATTTTGATTGTTTACATTGCTACTTCGAGAGACCCGTCGATTGTTTTGATAATTAGCTTCATTGTTTACATTTACTCGTTTGTTTACCTCGATTGTTGCTGATTTATCAAATTGTTGATTACTTTCATTGGTATCGTAGAGGTTTGATCGGGAAAATGTTGACGATTTATGGTTGTTTCGGTAATCTTCATTTCGAACGGTTAAATCGTCAGAACGTTGATTGACAGAATTCTTGTCAGTCATTAGAGAAATTGATTTATCAATTGATCCTCGACGGTGAACTCTTAATCCGGTTCGAATGTCTCTTCTTTCCATTCGATCTCTTTGGTCTCGATTGTTATAATCGTAACTATCATTATCGTCGTTATCGTTGAATTCATCATTAACATCATCATCATCATAATCGTCGCTCATGGAACCAGTTGAACCGAATCGTCTTCGGTGTCTAATAGAAGTAGTAGCAGCTCGAGCAAATGATCGGCGGCCAATTCGTCCCCATCTACTTTCGGGTTTGATATAGATGATAACACCTTCATTGTCTTCACATCGAGATCCAAAAGGTCCTCGGGGTCTGTAGATTGTTGATGATGAGCCTCGGAATCGATTATCACTATTAACATCATCATCGTCGTCAATATTATCATCGACATTACCAGTTAATGAATCAGAGATGACCATTGATGAAGTACCGGAGGTTGGGAGTGATGGTGATGAAGAAGATGCTATTGTTGTTGTAGTTGAAGTTAAACCACCCATTGGACTGGAATCAGGTACAGATACTGAAGATGAGGTTGATCTTACACCGGAAGTAAGTCCTGAATCTAAACCTGATTGATAGGAAGTATATGAGGCTTGGTTGTTAAGACCATTTGGAATCATTGAAGGTCCCGAAACACTCGAGTATGAAAGTGAACTCGAGGCTGGAACGCTCATTGAAGATGAGACCGTTTGAGATGCTGATCCACCTAAACCACCGACCGATGAAGTTGATTGAGAAAGTTGACCCATTCCACCCGACGAAGATGATACCGATTGTGAGGAAACAACTTTTTCGCCGCTCGATCCGATGTCCATTGAGTTCGATTGATACTGTTTACTTGATTGTCCGCCAATACCCATCGATGATTGTCCATAACTATTAGTAAATTGTTGCTGTTGAGTACTTGCTCCTAACCCGATGGGTACATTGTAACCATGGGCTATGCAATTGAAACAACCGATTAAAACAAATGATATAATTAAATTGTTCATCTTTGATTAACTTTAAACACTAGTATTAAATTATAATGAAATGAACATTACAATTTGATTGAACTACCAGTTGATTGTGATTCAATTTGATCGTCGATTCCTCTTTATATACTCATCTCTCTCTGGTTGTAATTAATTAATCATCTAACTGCTGTTGATCAATTTATTTTGGTTTTTAACTAATTTTTTACTTCACTTTTAATTGTTAACAATTAATTGTCTAAATTAAATAGAAAATAATAAATCATTTAATTGATAAACTATTACATCTGCTTACTTTTCACTCAATACAATTAAGTAATTAATCAGTTATTAATTGAATGTGTCTGTTGATTATGTGATATCATTTAAATTTGATCACGATTGTTTTAATTATGATTTATTGGAAATTGTTGTTTTTAAGATAATTAATTAATTTACATTGAACTTTTTGCCGAGCAATTAATTGATTGTCTTTATATAATGATTCGTCTCAATTGGTGATATTAGTTGAAAATAAATTATTTTATTTTATTGAATTTTGTACATTTAAGGTAATTTGGTGAAAATTATTGGACAATTAACTTTTTCAATTAAATTTCTTTACAGATTTTATTGATTTCGTTTTGTAGTTGAGTGAAATTAGGACGTTCTGATGAGCTGATTTTCCAACAATTAACCATAATTGTCCAGAATTTATCGGTTTTAGGAATTCCTTTGTCAGGTTTGCTTAGAGTTCCTCCTCCTTCTAGAAATTTAATTAAATCAACAATTGAATTCTTATTAGTAACTGGGTAATCTGGAATAGCACCAAGACTAAAAAGTTCCCATAAAGTGACACCAAAGCTCCAGACATCAGATTTATGAGTAAAAATGGGATCATTTCTGATCGATTCGGGTGCGTACCTATTAGGATGAAATATATTTCGGTTAAATTTTTAATCAATCTAAATTGTAAATCAAACTAACCATTTAAATGGCAAATAACGAGGGTTCTGACAAAATAAACATCCTCTCCTGGTCCAAGTGATTGAGCTAAACCAAAATCTGATATCTTTACAGTGTCAGTCGAGGACATGAGTATATTTCGAGCGGCAAGATCTCTATGTACGATTCTCATTTTTTCAAGATATTCCATTCCAGAGACAATGTCATGAGCATATTTTTGAAATGGTATCGATTTCAATTCATTAGGTTCCAGTTTACGAAGAAATTTGGCCAAAGATCCAAGTTCCATGAATTCCATGACTAACATTATCTCAGGATCTGAAGGAAAGAAATAAAAGAAAGTAAGTTGAATGAATAAAATCTTGTACATGTTACGATCACCGAACTTGCCTTTAACTATTCCAATAATGCTGACGATGTTTGGATGAAATACTTTGGTCATTATTTGGAATTCACGTTCAACATCAGTGATGATTCTTTGACCATTACGTTCCTTTGCTCGTCGGTTAATTCGCTTAACGGCCACAAAATTATCCGAATCAGCAGGATACCGAGCTTTCAAGACTTCGCCATAAGCCCCTGTTCCCAAAATGGCTTCTCGACCATTACAAGTCGCTATTTGAAGATGATTAACCGGAATGACCCAAGGCAAATCAGTGTCATACTCGTAATCAACACTACATTCATCATCTTCCTCCAATCGGTAATCATATTCTGATGATACTCGGTAATTGGTGGTCAACTTATTAAGAAATTTAGATAAACTCGACCTCTTTTTGTGCTCACTTTCTTCAATATAAGCGTAATGTGAAGGTGAACCTGAGCCTCTGAGTTGATATTCACGGAGAAAAAGTTCACGAATATCTCGGTGCATTTCCATTGGGTGTTTCCTCTGTTCGGGATCGGGTTGCCAGCAATTGTGAATCAATTGCCAAATAGGTGATGGACAAGACAGTGGACGAGGTAAATTATAAACATCGGTGCCTGGAGGCCTTTGACCAAGACTGAATATCTCCCATAAGGTTGTGGCACATGCGAAAATATCAACAGATAATGGAAGCGATTCTGAACTAGATGAATATTCCTTGGGTATCCAAAGTCTATCTCCATTTTCATCAAGGTGAATAAAAGGATCACCGAGTCTCACTTGGAATCTTCTGTTTGACCTTTCGACGACCAATAAAGCTCGACATCTAATCATCCCATGAGTTAATCCAATCTCGTGGAGATAACATAAAGCTCGAGTTAAATACATGGCACATTCAATTAACTCATAGGTTTTTATTTCTGAATGATTTCGACGGAGAAACTCATCCAAAGGTCCTGATGGAAAATAATCACGAACGAAAGCAGGAGGACGAATTGAGATGAATCGAGTTCGTGTAATTAAATCGGAAGTTAAACTACTCCAATAATCTAATTGCTCGAGAAAATGAGTTACTCGTTGGTCTATCGTAGGCACTTTACAAAGTAACTTGTCGTCGCCATCGTTAATCAAATAGTAACGAAACGATTTATCTTTGATTGTTTCCAATCGATTATCTTTGGTTAAGTAATTGTTGAAATTTAGTTTAACGATAATACTTTCGGGTGTTTCAAGTTTCTCCTGTTTAACTGCATCACAGCATAAAATACACCATTTGAATATGTTAGATCCTAAGGGTGGAATACAAGTTTTCAATTCGATGCAACCATTGGTGTCGAAGGAAATTTTGAGCTCTTTTTTGAGCGAATCAAATGTAGAAAAGGTCGCTAAATGTTCATCTTGATCTAATACTATTAGTTTGTCCATTTTCTTGACGATTTGAAACTTTTAATTCCTGGCCCAACCCAAACGTCAACCACATATTCGTAACGTTTCTCATCGTGACGAATTAAAAAATTACCAATATTACATTGACTTTTGTCAAGAAAAATGGCCAGTGAGTCGTTTAAACTGATCGGACCATGACAACGAATCTCTTTAAATTGTAAAATCGACGGAGGCATAACATATTCACAGATACATATTGAATCTCCGGTGATTAGTCTATGATAACCTTCCAAAAGGGATAATAATGATTTAAGAATCATTTTATCGGAAATGGCAAAGAAAACGGGTGTTCCATTTTTCCGTGATATCTCAACCCCATGATCTTGAACAATAATGAAACAAATATCGGCAATTGTACAGAAAAAATTCCAATCCGGTTGATTAGCTTTTTGAGCGGTGAAAATGTCTACCGATTGAAATGGCCTGATCTGAAGGAGAAATTCATTGGTTCCTGGCATCCCGTTTGCTTTTTCAAATCGACTGAAAAACAATAAGAAAATAATAAAAAAATTATATTAATAAATTTGATCCTCATTGAAAAGTTGATCAAAATCTTTTCGATCTTCACCTTGCTTTGTAAATTGTGAAATTCTCGTATCCAAGATCTTTGATTATCGTTTTATCGTAATTAACAATCTCATAGATAAATTCTTTCTTAACGAATTGACTTTTACCGAGTCCATCGTTGTTGGACGCTGCGTGACTCGCCATTGCGAGCGTATGTAAAATCTGAGCTCCTTTCAATTCCTTCAAGAATTTTGATTCAGCTTTATAAGGTGTTGGAACAAAATCTCTCAATGATTTAATGTGATTAAGAGCATTTTCCACAGGTATCTTTCTCTCCAGCAGGTAAATCAATAAATCGGTGATAATTAAACCAAACAATTGACCAGTATCTTCAATCTTTGAATTTCTGAAAACATCTCTCACTTGACAATAGTAATAATTGAAGGCATTTTCATCAAGAATCTATGAAGGTATTGAAAAAGGAAAAAGTAAATCAATTAATCAGATAGATGAGGAAAAAAAAATAATAAACTTACAATTAGTTTCCTGAGATCGTAAGGTTTATACCTTATTCTTAATTGTAAAAATTTACAGTTATAATCAAGTTCTGTCAGTTTTTGATTCATCGCTAACCAAAGGTTCATTTTTGGACAGTAAAGTGAAAAGAGATGACGGGCAATTGGACCAATATTACGTTCTCGGCAAATTTCAACAATCAAATCTTCAGTAAATTCAAGTGATGGTCCAATCAATTTATCAATTGTTCTATCAATAATTTCTCCATTTTCATAAATGAAAACCGAAATTTTCACCGTTGTCATTTTGTGATTTTTTTTTCTTCTTCTATTCAATCAAAATCAAAAGAAATCAAACCAACTTGACATTTGAATATTTCTAACCCCAACCCTTGGGTTTCCGTTTATACAATCAAAATCACAACCATGATTACACAGAAATCTAATGAAATAAAAAAAAGACAATTAAAATAAAGAACAAATTAAAATTAAATTCACACAAACAAGTAAATCAAAACAACAACAAATACACCGAGAGTAATTATTACAATGGAGGAAAAACCTCACGAGGAAATGAATGAAACTTACCAGAAACGCTAATTTACATGTTGATTGTTTTAATTGGCTCTCTTTTAAGGAAATTAAAACTTGTAATCACAATTAGTTGATTTGTTTTCTTTCAATTTGTAACTTGATTTGAACAAAGACAAAAAGTAAACAAGACTGAAAGAGAGTCCGTTGCCTAGCAACTAACCAGTTACCAGAAGATTGAAATTTGTTTTCATCTCTATATTTTCACTTAATCATTTAATCACCATCATGATTAACTCATCATTACTCAATTGTATTCTTGGTCCGAGACTTTACCGTGTCCATGGAACTGCTGAGCTTACGGTGAGAAATTTAAATTTCATCTAATTAACGAGTAACAATCAATTTTTTATTCTAACCAAAGGTTTTTAGATTCACTGTTTTTGCTTTTCTCAATATTGTTGTTTACTTGTTCTTGTCTTAATGTGATTGTTTTTTTTTTCCTTGTTCAAGAGAATTAGTTGATTTTTGGTGATTGAAATTAATTCTCTGTGTTGTAATTAATGTTAATCATTGATTGGTTATTGTGTCTATTTGGTTAGTCAATCAGCTTTTTTTGTCATTTTCTTTTTTGATTGAAAATTGTGTTCATCTATAAGAAGATACTAAATATGAGGAAATGATTGAGAAAATTTGGTTGATACTTGAAAACCTTAGAATACAATTTATTGAATTACTTTCCCATTAACGAATAATAAATTTGTTCTTTTCTTTTTTTTTCTTCCTTCTATTTTGATTAGGGTCGTGATTACCAGGCCAAAGCAATCGAATCGATTAGTGATCGGATCATTCGTTTTATGGTCTTCACTTGTTCCCTTGGTGTCTATTCATCACCAATTTTACTCTTTTTCCTCCATCGCCGTGGATTCATTACCTTGAGTCCAAGTGTCTCAGTTTCTCATGAATATGTTTCCACCGTTGTTCGTCTTGGTGGAATCTTATCAATCGCTGCATTTGCTGCACTTATAACTCGAGGAGTCTCACGACTACGAAACAGTGAATATGTAAATTTCATCTCTGTTCTTAATCGTGTCAAGAAAATGTCACCAGAGGAGATGAAAAATTCAACCTTCTTGTTAAACAGATATGATTTTGAATTTACTGATTGGCCTGTTGATTTTAAATGGAATGAATCAAGTCTTGCAGAAATTGGTAAACCTCCTGTTCCATTGGCAAGACGATCTCACAATAACACTCTGGTAGATAAGATTCTATCTATTCCATGTAACGTGTTATCTTTTCTTGCTGTTCATACATTTGGCCGTCGAATGATTTATCCTGGTTCTGTTTCACTTCTTCAAACTCTTGTCCATCCAACTCTTGTTGATGGAAGAAAACGACTCGTTGAACGTCATAAGGGAAGAAGATACAAATTACTTGCACATGATGGAAATGAAATTGACGCCATGTTTGTTGATCGAAGATCAGTTGGAACAGTTGGACAAACTTTGGTTATTTGTTGTGAAGGAAACGCTGGATTTTATGAAACAGGAATAACAGTTACCCCTCTTCACACAGGTAGTACAAATTGTTGCAAGGTTAACTTTAAGTTAATTGTTGTTAATTGTTGTTTCTCAATTTCCCTTAGATTTTTCAGTTCTTGGCTGGAATCACCCTGGTTTCGGTGGAAGTACCGGAATACCTTTCCCTGAGAATGAAGTTTCTGCAGTTGATGTTGTTGTCAAGTTTGCTATTGATAAACTTGGTTTTAATGAGAAATCAATATTAATCATGGGCTGGTCAATCGGTGGATTTTCATCTTCATGGGCTGCAATGACTTATCCCAACATTAAAGGCCTCATTTTAGACGCTTGTTTTGACGATCTTTGTCCTCTGGCCATTGCTAAAATGCCTTCAACATGGAAACCGCTGGTTGTCAATATGGTGAAAAACTATTTCAATCTTAACGTTTCCGCTCATTTGGAAAGATATCCTGGTCCAATTCTTATTATCCGTCGCACACAAGATGAAATAATCAATATTCGAGAAGATGAACCAATCAAAACTAATCGAGCCAATGATATTCTCAATAAATTATTCAAATCTCGATTTCCAATTCTCATGAGAGATGATAAAGTTTGTGAAATATTAGATAAATGGTTATCTGGTGGCCTTGAAAATCAAAGTGAGTCAATATCAATATCACGATAAGAATATTATCTTATCGATTAGAAAAAGAAAACAATTATTTTTCCTTACTTTAACTGCCAATAATATTTCCTCATTTTTTTGTTCATCCATCTTCAGGATCAGTGAGTCGTAGTAAAAATGTCGATCCATCTCTTTGTATGTCGATGCTTAAATCATACATCAAAGAGGACGAAGAAAACAGGTCTCAATATCCATTAATGATCGGCGACGAGTTGGACTCAATCCAGAGAAGCCAATTAATCTTATTCCTTGTAAGTTAATTTCCAATCAGAATTACATTCAAATTCTAACTCTTCCTAATTGTCAATCTCTGTCAGGCATCTAAACATTTCGTCGATTTCAATGAACAACATTGTGCACCATTACCAACCCAAATATTTACCGAACCCTGGAATCTATTCAATGCTGTTAAGAACACAAGTTCATTGTGATTAAGTAAAATCAATTAAAGTAAAAATGGAACCAAAGATTACTGATTAACGCTCATTGCTTTTTTTTGGTGATCACAATCGTCATTAATTACTACAGTATTTTACTCTTATATAATGTAAATGTTAATCTGATTTCTTGATAACAATCAACCTACCAGATGATTTAGCTTATATTGGTTTAATTTGTTTTTCTTTCTACTTTGTAAATTGTTTTTCCAATATTATTCAAACAAAGACTAATTTTTGTCAATGAGCAAACTTAATGATCTTTGTTTTGATTGGTAAAAAAAAATGCTCGTAAATCTATTTACTACATAATAGTAAACTCTTTTCGATAATTTTCTCAATGAGAAAACTCAATTGATTGTCATCTTTATCTTCCTAACTGTTGATTGTCCAGAGGAAACTTTTTTCTTTGGAGTTTCAATTGTTTCCTCATTTCATTTCATCGTACAGATTACATGGGAATTTCAATCTCACTGATTTATCTCAAATCCTCTTTCATTGAACCGAATCAACAACTAATTAATTAAACGAAACAGTATTCATTCAACAACAATTATTTAAGAATTACAATCAGTAATCATCATGATGGATCAATTTTTGTAATGGTCAAACTATTTTACTAAATTAGATTCTCGATTCAAATAAATTGCATCAGTTCAACTTGAAGGATAATCTAAATTGTGTCTCTACATGTTAAACAAATTAACCATTGAGTTTATTATCCTCATCTAATCAATTGTTTTAAGTTGATTCTCCTTTCATTATTGTTTACAGTTTACTCATCTTTAACTTATGTAATAACAATAACAATCAATTGTCTCAATTATAATTACTTAAATTACTCCGATTCAATAAAGATAAATAAACAAAGGTAACAATTATATTGTTTTGCCTCAACTCGGGGAATTAACTGATTGTCGTTGCAACGATAATTACAAAGGTCTTGATCATCTAGTTGATTGTAAGTTTCATCGATGAAAATTTTTCTCGTGATTGGATATCCCAATAATCACTGATTATTAATAGTGATTCAAATTGATCCATTTCTCATAATGATTGTTTATTGGATGAAGATGATTAGTTTAATTGAGCAAAGCTTTAGTTACAGGATTACAATTAATCTGATATCTTGTGCGATCTGTGAGACTAGATAATTTGAGTTAATTGTTTGATAACAGGAAGATTAACTTTAATTACTAAATTATGATATTTTGTCGTTCCTTGTGAAAGTATATAAATGTATTGTCTAATTTTCTAGGAAGTTATTAGTTGACAGTTTCTCATTGTCATCATGATGAAGTTTTTAATTGTTGCTCTACTTCCTCTGATTGCTACTGTCCATGGACTTGACAATGGCCTTGCCCTTAAGCCTCCGATGGGCTGGTTATCATGGGCTCGATTTACTTGTGTAACTGATTGTGCTAAATATCCTGATACTTGTATTCATGAAGATTTGTACAAACAAATGGGCGAGAAGTTGATTAAAGATGGCTACGTTGAACTTGGTTATGATATTGTGGCCATAGACGATTGTTGGTCAGAATATGAGAGAGACAATGAAACGAAGCGATTAGTTGCTGATAGAACTCGATTTCCAAGTGGAATTAAAGCTTTGGCTGATTGGATGCACTCGAAAGGACTTCGACTTGGTCTTTATGGGGACGTTGGTCCGTTGACTTGTGCAGGGTAAGTCGAATGTCCAAATCTTCGGGTAAAATTTTAATTTTTTCGGTTCTAATATGATGATTTTATCGACAGCTATCCTGCACAGAATGGACCTGGGGATGGCTTCTTCGATATCGATGCTCAAACATTTGCCGAATGGGGAGTCGATTCCTTCAAATTTGATGGATGTTTCGAAGATCCTAAAAACTTTGATGTACTTTATCCCAAAATGGCGACTGCTTTCAATAAGACCGGTAAGCTGATCTAATGGACATTTTGTTTTTAATCCTCATACGATTAATCAATCTTTTCTCATCTAAAAATTGCTAAGGTGCTCCAATAATTTATCACTGCGAATGGCCATTGTATCAATTCAACGCCAACATTACTCCCAATTATGAATCAATCTCAAAATACTGTAACATGTACAGGAACCATGATGATGTTTGGGATTCATGGAGTAGTGTTTCCAGTATTATTCAATTCTATGGAGATTATCAAGATACTTTCGGACGTTACAATGGTAAACTGAGATTTTGCTTCATTGATCATTCATCTATAATTTAATCCTTTTGTGTTTAACTATTAATAGGACCTGGTATGTGGTTAGATCCTGACATGTTGATTATTGGTAACTTTGGATTATCTGAAACTCAATGGGAAACTCAAATGTCTTTCTGGTCAATGTGGTCATCACCTTTGTACATGTCAAACGATTTACGAAGAATATCAAAAAGAGCTAAAAAGATTCTTAAGAATCGTCGAGTGATCGAAGTGGATCAAGATAGTCTTGGTAAAATGGCTCGAAGAATGGTCTATGATAACCCTAAGGGCAAAGTGAGTGAACACTTGATGAATCAACCAATGAATATTAGTAACTTATGAAATTATATTCCAATGTTAGGATCGTCATTTCGAAGCCTGGACCAAGGAAATGGCCCAAAGAGACGGTAAAACCATCTACGCCGTTCTTTACTACAACGATCAACCTCTTGGTAATCCTGAATATGTAAGTTAACAATCAAATTCTTCCTCTTTAATCAACTAATTGCTCTATTTTTCCTCTTTAAATTAGTTCACCGTTTCAATGAAAACACTTCTTCCAAATGAAAATTCTGACTCTAAATTCAAAGTCGTCGACTTATGGGAAGAAGACGAAGACGACGCTCGAATCGGTACTTTCCAAATGTCCGATTCATTAGAGTTAATCGTTAATCCTTCCGGAGGCTCTCGAATGGTTTTATTGACCCAAGTCTAAATTGTAAACAATCAACTGTACAGCTATTATATCCTTTAATCATATCGAAATTAAATTTCCAATTTAACCTTAAAATCTGCTTCAAATTTAATGAAATACTTGTTGATTGATATTAGACATTAACAAGTACAAGTATTAAGAAACAATCAATGAAACTGAAAATATCATAATCAGTATATTCTGGTTGATTGTAACAATCGTTCATTGATAAATTAACAAGGAACAGGAGGAAATTGTTATTTATACTCAACACAATTAAATTAAATAAAAGTGATCAAAGATTATCACAATTGAAATAATAACCTTCAAGTTAATCAAGTTACCTTGAGAAAAACATTGTCAAAACAATTGGATTAATCATTTGGCTTTATTGTCTAACTGAACATTAATTTATCAATGTTACACTCAAAGGAGTTGTCAAAATAGACAATAAACTAATTGTAATTAACTCATTTATCTTTTTTTTCCTCTTAAATCTTATCAAAACAAAATTGATTTAGTTTTTGTCAAAATAAATTATCAGTAACAATTTATTGTTATCATTTCAGATGCTTTTCCAAGTTTAAATACAATCAGAACAATTTATTTTCCATTCAGTTGATTGTTGATTCAGATTTAATTTGATGATTAACTTTCTCCTCTCATTGCTGAGATTTCATAAAAGTTAATAAGCTTAACTAACTGATCAGATTGGATTAAGTTTAAATTGTTGACCATTTAAATGAGAAAACTTCATGACAGTTAGTTGATTGTTGGTAAAGTTTTCAAACAAATTTTCAATATTCTTGTGATAATATTAATAAATCAACTGAATCCAAATCAATGATTGAGTTAATCTGATTAGTAATATTTACTATTAGACAAAAAAAACAACGAGAGAAATTAAAATAAATATAAATTAGCAATTAAATGCATAAATGTACATATTAATACATAATGATAACAGTAATTAAGACTATTGCAATTTAAAGCAATTCTGATTTCATCTAATCATGAAGGGAAACATTATCATGGTCCAATTTGAATCACTGGTGTCAATTTAAATTAACTATCTCAATATATTCAAATGATATTTTCTTATGGTCCGATTTTGTATTTTGGTCAATTGGAGGTGAGATTAAAAAAAACTCCAGGGATGGTCATCGTTGATTATCATTGGTCACTTGATGATATGTTAGTCCTTTGGAGATGATATTGTAATTGTACATTTAGTAATCAAAATAATTAGTATAAGAAGTAGGATATTATGATGAATTAAATTATAATGATTACTGGACACAACCAACAACAGGTTAACTGTAAATGACTAGGGTAAAGGCGATGATGAAGGTGATGAAGATGATGAAGATGATGAAGATGATGATGAAAATCATGACGATGACTTAATTTGAAAGATACTATGGCGTTCATTTAATGGATCCTTGTTTACTTGATTATCATCAGATTTGAAATACTTTTTTCATCATAATTTCATCTCAATTTGAAGCTCAACAAAATCTCATCATCATCACTTAGTTGACTTTTGATTGTCAAAATAAATTATATTTACTTTGTCAACTTTCATTTGATTGTTACCAAATTGCTTGACTACCTTTAAATTAACCAAGTGAAACTCAATTCATCTAGAATCTTGATGATAATAATAAGATGATTGGTGAATTTTCAAAGTTTTTCCTTGCACAATTTAAAACATTGATGAAAATATTCCGATCAGAACAATAACCAATATTATCAAACATATTAAGATCATAATCTGTTTCTGTGGAAAAGAAATCAAAAAAATCATATTAGTTTTGTGGTAACAATTAACCAACCAGAAAATAAGGAAAATCGAGTTACAATTAGATGATCAAAATCGGTAAAAATCTTGATTGTAAACGATTACATTTACTGAGCACAATACGATAACCTTTGGATATTTAAATGCTATGGTGTTTCTATTACTGAGAATTGATACAAAATGATTAACTTGTTTAAAGTTAATTTGCATCTTAATCAATCTCTCATTTTAACTCATTTCAAATCTCGTTAACTGGTTAGTTTAATGATGAAGATAATTCTCATTGATTAGATGAATGATTAACTTTGTATTCAAATGTATTCACAAGTTATTCTTGATTCTTTTTGTAATATAAACATTTCCAGTCATCATCGAGTTAGTAACTTGTTCATGAACTTGAATACTAAATTTGAGTAAGATGAATATTCATTCTGAGTAAATGATCAATCGAGAAGCACTGGAGTAAAAATGATTTACACACTTCTCCAAGTTTCATGATGATGATCATGAGCATCAACTGAAGATGATAAAGTAGAAAATAACAACATTGGAAATGAAACAGAAGATGATGATGAAAAGACAAGGATGATAATATTAGTAAGTACAGATGAAACAGGAAGGTGAACTTGATGAAGAAAATGATGATGATGATTAAGAATTAGAATCAAGATGACAACTTGTAATTAGATTTGATTATCAAGAAAAACATTCATCATCAATTCAATATCTTCCATTTGGGTTTCCATTACTGATTCTTACTCTTCGAGCCTTGGACTGATATTCACGGGCTTTTTTGGTGTCTTGTTTGGCTGTTTCAATATATTCTCGAGCATGTTCAACATGATACTCTATCCGGTCAATCATTTCACCCTGGAAAAGGAAAAGAATAGAAAAAATATAAATCATTAAACGAATAAAATTAACATGTAAATTTACAGAAAAAAACAATTCGCCATGAAAATGTAAATGCGATTCACTTGGAATTGAGTTGAAACAATTTAGTTAATTCTGTTTATCCTCAGTAATAATAGTAAATAAAATTTACATGAAGATTGAAAAACCTTAAAAGTTCATATTTGGATTAATCAGAAATCCCTGAATTGAATTTGATTAACCTTCTAATTTAATTGTAACACTCAAAGTTACAAGTTGTCAATATGTTCATTGAACATTAAAAATAAATATCATTTGAAAGCATCTCAATAAACCTTGACCTCAAGGTGGATTTAATTAACATGTTAATTATTTTGATGCAACTTTTCAGGATCATCAAGGATTAGCTAATATTATTTAGGTTAATCAGTTGAATATTTTTTTTCCATGTATGAAGAATCAACTAAATTAAGATTTCAAGTTGATCAGTGGCTAATTAACATATCATGATGAAACTAATGAGATACAATTCAGGGAATTTCACCAAGACCTCAGACTTTTGGGAGTTTGAGCGATACTCGATTGTCGTATTTGAATATCAAGGTCATTCTTGTCGTTCTTTCAGGATACAATTTCAAGGTCATTTGATGGTCAGAATCGACTCGAATGCGGAAAACAATCATGCACCCAAAACAAGAAGAGTCTGAGGTCTGAATAATCAAAAACTTGCTGGAAATTTGGTGAAATTCCCTGTACATATATTGATTGACAATCGATTAATTAAAAAGTAAATCAATTATGGTAAAAATAATTTTATCTTGTTAATCTTAATTAACTCGGTGAATTTCATTAACTATGATTAGTAATGTTTTCAGTCTATTTATTGACAATTAACTAGATCAACTTACACTAATTGGAAATACTCTGGGTACCATTGAGAAAACATTTCAACAATTAATATTAATCATAACTAATCAACTAATAATAATAATAATATATAACATTTATATTGAGTTGAATTGGTAAGTTAGTGATTGTGTGTATTTGTTTACAATCAAAATACAATTAGTAAACAATAATGATTCCAATTGAATTAGTAAATTAATCCAATTGATCAGATGTATTAATGTTTCTCTCCGTAGCTCTTTCAACAATCAAGTTAATCATAGATAAAACCATTAATATTATAAATATTGAACGAGAAACAATTTAATATTAACACAAGTGAGACTTTGATTAATCATTTTTCAAAATGATCAATCAAATTGGTCTAATCATTTTTTTTCCTCGACTAATATTTTCATTATTATTATCATTATCATTTAGTATTCCTATTCAGTTACCTTGTCAAATTGTTATTAATACAAAGATCATTTATCTGGAAATTATTTATATATCGTTGGGGCTTTTGCTCTTATCATTAGGTTTTCTTTGCAACGGAAATTTGGAGCAAAAAGATTACAATTATTAATATTAATCATTATTACCATGATAATAATCACATATGATTTGGTACAGTTGATAATCAAGAACACAATCAAATCAAGTGTAAAAATGTATTCGATTTTTAATCATTTCAATCTGAATAATGATCCAACTTGAAGCTCAGAGTTTTTTTCAGGGTGATTATTGAGTTTTCTGATATAATTATAATTGCAATGTGTTAATTGTTGGGCAAATTGGTAAATATTGATAATTACAAAAGTCTAGAACTTGAATTTTATGGGAACAGTTTATGATTTGGATTAAGAATCAAAGTTTACATAGTGATCTTTTTTTTTCGAGGATAAAAAAGTTATATAATATTCAAATGCTAATGAAACAGTTAGAATGTAACAATTTAATATAAATGGATTTTGATTAAATTATTATTAGATTTATTATTATAATAAGATAGTTGCAAGGTAGTGGGATAGGAAAAGTTTCATGGTTTTTTTATTCATTGATTTGAGTTGGTCTATCATGGGAATTGTGAACATGATTAGAATGATAAATACGAGGGAAAAAAGGTTATCACAATTAGGTGATAATCATCTGATAAATAATCTCTTTTGTATGATTGAATTATAATCAGATTAGTGAAACAATTACTTATCGAATATCAGTTTGTGTGTATGTGAACTAAATCACAATTAATATTGGGAAAGATTTTCATACAATAATATTTACTATTGATTGAATTCTCATTGGGAATAGTGGATAAATAGACTCCTGTTTTTGAATGAAAATTATTCAGACAAAAATGAACAACCAAATTCACATGAAAATATTAATAAAATGGTAAAATAAACATTGAAAATAACAGAAAACTAGACCATCAGTTTTAAGGTTGAATAATTCATAATGCTAATTACTGATAGAGAAAAACAGAGAATTTAAAATTCAGGTAAATTTTGAAACCTTTCACTGAATTATCATGAGAATCTGATTGGAGTGAATTAAGTAAAGTTTCTCAGAGATTTTGTTATTATTCAGATTCAGTGTTCTAATTAGAGTTGGTAAATTAGGATCAATATCAAGATGATTATTATCTTTTCATGTTCATTGATTGAAATTGAAAAATAAACCCAGGGAATTGTTATCATCATGTTATTTGAATATGGAAGCAAATGTAAATATTTGTTCTGATGAAAAAAAAAGAAAAGGTGAGTTCCGTCATTGAATATAAGGTGACAATCGACAATGAGATTGATTCTGATGAGTCTTTCAAATGGACCACTTTAATGGTTAACAATAACTGACCATTGGCCATTATATATTGTATATTTCAAGAGTTTGTCTAAACAATGAGAGAGAAAAAATCAAGAGGAAAAAAGGTAATCCTGAATTTTAAGTATCTACTCAGGATAACATGAAAAGAAATGAGGTGAATAAAACTCAGAATTTCATCAAGATAATCAACATGAAAATAACTTGAAGATATTAACAGTTTCACCTTCCTCCTAATTGTGATCAATACTCTGAGTTTATTATACCGTGAAAATTATAAGGGGACAATTAAATGATTGGTTCATTTTGTTCAACAATCAAACTGAACGTAAACTCAATTGATCATGTTCAACTTTTCATTGATAGAAACTTTTGTTCATCATAAAATCTTGTTAATATAATGTTAATATTGGTTTTCTCATGATTTAATTACAATCTGATTCAATATAACATGTAACTCATTTGAAACATCATTAAGATCACTAGTTTCATCATTTATTGCTGGTAACCAATTAATCTTGATTGAATTTATATATCTTATTCAGATTATCTTATTCAACGTTTACGTTTATATTTATCATCTAATCATCGTAGTCGATTAAATTGCTAAATTGTTGAAGAAAATATCTCATTCCTTATGATTACAATTTAAATGGAAAACTAGATGACTCTGATTGTGTTTATTATGATTTACTCATGGTAATCAAATGATAACAAGAAAAATGAAGAACAAAACAAATGAATTTGTATTGAAAATCTAATTATCTTAATTGTTAACATAATAATTGATAAAGATCATTTTATATGATGAGAGTCGTAGAGGTTTTTGTTGTAACAATTTGTACACAACAACAAATCAAATAATCATTTTCATGAGAACGTGAGGTTTTCAATGATAATATGATTAATTTTTTACCTTTTCTATCAAATGTTATTAAATTTATTTCATAATACAAATGATTAAACCTTAAAAACTTGACATACAATTTAATTGTCTTCTCAATCAACTCCAACCCTAACGATTTTTGGTAATTTCTAGTGAAAGTGATTAATATACAATTAGTTAATTTGTGATCACAATTTGAATGTATTAAAGGTTCAATTAACATAAGATATGAACACACATTATGCTAATAGTTATTACTTTTCATCTTAATTGTGAAGGTAAATCAAGAAATAAGGAAATGATCATAAACTCATTTGCTTATCATAATTTTATTTTCAATACAACAATTGATTAAGATGTAGATTGATTTAGATAATGATGGTAAACAATTAGCAAAATGATGGAAACCTAAATTGATTCAGATAACCTAAGGAATAACTAATCTAATGATATGAAAGGAAAAAAAATCATAAATGAATCAATTTGTATTCATTAGAAAGACAATATCATCATTATGATTATCTTTGAGTAATTACAAATCAAAGCTGAATAATTGGAAAACTCTAACTAGGAAATAAAGAATCAGGTAAATTGTTTATTTCATCATCATCTTCATGCTGATTTTCATCATGATAATAATAGAAATGAAGATGTTGCTTCATGTATTGAGCTTAATGTATGCTTTTTATAGCCTTTCTCTTGGATCCTTCAGAATTAAGGAAACGATTCCATAATCAATTCAATCCCACTTAAGAATAAAGTAAAAAATAACTCATGATAATGCATAATATTCATCATATTATGATATCAGATACACGCTGTTGAATTGAATGCAACACAGAATCTGAATTATCCATCACTTATCATTTGTTATCATCAATAATCAAGCTCATTCCTATTACTTCATTATGATTATTATCAAAATTTTCATGTACAAAATGAATAATTTACAGGTAGACATTGTATTCATCGTTCAATTATCAATCTAATAAATGTTGACCACGAGGTTTAATCAAATCTATTTACTATTTACTTTATATTAGTTTTAATCATGGTCACTGAAATATCATAATCATGTTAATCTAAACGAGGTAATATTTTTCACTCAATGAGTTTACTTTGAAATAATGATTATGTTTGAAATTGACAAGTTGAATTGCATGTGATGAAATGATTAACCAATGGATTAACATTTATAGAGTGACGATAATCATTGTAATTATGTCAAAATAAATTAAATGGGTCAATTTACCTGACTTTCTACCAGCATGGCCATATCCATGAACATATCATGCAACTCTCTTATACTATTTTCTAATTTGATAATATCAGCGTGACGAGCTTCAATATCGGCTAAAGTTTGTCGTGCTTGTTGAGTATCCGTCATGATCTGTGAGACAATTTAAAAGAAATGTCAATTAGTCAGTAATTAGAAAGTAATTGAATATATAGTTAACATCATCATGGTCGATATTAAGATGGTCGAGCGCTTCTACTTCTTCGAGGTGGTAAAATGTTCAAACAAACTTACACCTTGCGTGAAAATGGCCGGATTGCCGCTTTCGAGCATTTCTTCCAGTTCTTCATTGGTTGTTGATTTACCGGCTACAATTAGTTGTATCAGTACCATTGTAAAAGTAAAAGGAAAATGTATATTAATGTATTGGTTAACTTTTCGCTGTTGTTGGTTTGTTGAAAGATCACAATCAATTTAATAACTGGCAACAGTTAATTCATTGTAATTGACAGAACTACTCACTTATTTCTAATTGTCTTTGAATTCTTGCTTTACATCTTTCACGATAATCTGTCTGAGTTTTGTTATAATCTGTCATTACAGCAACAAACTTTTGAGATAACATTGAATGTTGAGTCTTCCTGATCCGGAAATCAGCTGACATTATATTAGATTGTTCCAATTGTTCAATACATTGTTCCATAGCTGTGTTATCATTAAGACATAATAAAATAATATAATCCAATCATCAATAATATTATTATTACAATCAAAAGAATATAAAAAAAAAGTAATAACATTGAGACCAACATTTCAGTTTTCCACGAACTCGATTAGCTGTTTTCTTTATATCAGCCATAAGATCTTCTAATTGTTGCTTTGCCCCTTATATAATAATAATAAAATAGATAAATTAACGTCAATTAATTGTAAATAATTAGTAGAAAACAGAGTTAATCAACTTACTTTCATCGGTTTGTGGGGCTGAGAGTATTGCAGAATGGATTTTTTTAACTTCCTCTACATTTGATTGCATTTTGTCAATATTTTCACGAATCTCTTCAACCTATTGTATTTTTATAATTCCAATTGAAAAGGAAAGAGGAGAAAACAAATGATATTATAAAATAATTAATAGTAAACGTCATCAAATGATCAACAAAAATTTGAGTTAATTAAAACTGTCATTCACAATGAAAATCATAACGATCATTATGATTACCTCTTGGAAAAATTGTTCCATATGATCAGTTGAAACTTCAACACCAACAACAACTTCATCATCTTCGGTGATTGCCTGTAATTATTTACAATGAGAAAACGAAACAATTAAGACGAAGAAAATTAAAACAATTAATTTGATTGAATTGAGATAATAATAAAAATGAGAATAAGAATTGAATGAATTCTTGATGAAACTTACCGCTTTAAGGGCTGATAATCTGTCTTTTATCATGGTGATTGTGTTGATCAGTTGATTTAATCAATTTTACCAAATGTAAAACATTAAAACAATTTAATTGTTGTTTAAATTGTTTCAAGTGTTAATCCGTCGCGTTCACTCAATTTAAATTGTTTCACTTTTGGTGTGGGTTGTACTCCTTTCACTGTTGATTGTTGTAACAATCAACTGGTTACAAGATGATTGGATTAAGTGTTAACTGGTGTTTCTGTTATTGTCACAATTGACAATAATTGTAAATATTGATTAAACCTTGTAAGGACACTTAATTGTAGTAACAATTAATTTAATCACTATAGAAAAAGAAAATTGATGAGAAAAAGATTTGTTAGGTTTGACTGATTGATGGAAGTTGTCAATAAACAAGATTCACAATCAAGGAGATTCAACTGGTTGAAATAAAAGTAACAACATAGATTAACAAATTCTCTCTATTTGGATTAACAATTGTTGTTGTTGTTGTTGATTAAAAAGGAGAAAACATTACTTTAATTGAGGAGAAAATGTTGT